TTTTTGATTGCTCATAAGAGGAAATACTCTTAAAAAAGGCACTTGTTGAAATGAGTTGTAATTTGGAATGATTTGACATTGAAGTGATTGATGTGTACTGTACAGCTGCAGCTGTAAACAACACGTGTGCAGTCTGACCCTAACAGTCTTAATACACTGAAAAAAGGTGTCTGATTTCTCATATTTCCTGTTGGCAGCAGTCAGAAAGAAAAAGAAAAGGCTGTAGGATGATTTAAGAAAACACATATGTGGAAGGTCAGGGGAGGTGTGTGCTCCAGATTTGTACACGCGCTCCGTCCTAACAGGGTGCCCCTGTAAACTCGTGGTAGACACGTTATACTAAAATAATTATCACGTTCCTTGGCAGAAACGTTTGACATTAAGTGAGGCAGCTTTTCAGGCGGATAACTAGTCCTTAATTTAATCTAGCGAGCCATTTAAAAGTTGTGTTTTTATAGCTAGATGTTCTTAACGGCCATTTCAGGTAGCTGTAGGCTAACAGTGTCCACCATGCTAGCTTAAGAAGATGTCGTAGCGTTATATTTAGTGTAAAAGAGGCGCTCAAATTGTCGGTTTACACTTACAAAAAGTCTCTTTTCCTATCCTCACGTTGATCATGATCCACTCCATGACTCCTCCAATGCAGAAAAAGATAGGTAGGAACCTGTACGACCCGAAGCGACGTTTCCCGGGGACAAACCTCAACAAACTTCTCACGGTTTTGCTCTTAATAAACATTCTGACTAACTGGCATGTACAAGCTGGGGCTCGACAAACGGTCTATAAACTCTTGAGGTAACCTTTAGAGAACAGGCTCATGCATGGACCTCTTACATGTCCTTTACAAATGTTATGAGGGCGATGGACGAGAGGGTGCGCTCGTTTCTCTACCTGGCATAAACCAAGCGTGCGGAGTTCTCAAGAATCCAGAGACGAACCAAAAGCAGCGCGACGTTTGTGATTAAAATGAACGCACCCCGGAAGAGTCGCAGCATCCGGGTGTGTGGTAAGCGTTAGTTTTAAAAAAATGGCTATGCGAAATGAAAAAGCGTAACACAGGTTTGAAGGCCACATAACGTTGACAGTTTTGTTCACTTTCTCTGCACACGTTAGTAAAATTAATTTTAAATGGTGAACATTGTTTTTCAATGTATTTATGAACAAAAACTGGCCGAAAAAATACATAATGTGCATAATATATGAAGATACAATACGGTTTTCATGGAATGGTAAGTCTTAAGAAGACCATTGGGTCAAGATTTTGACATGGTCTATGTAGAACCTGTATATCTCAGTATGGTATACAGTAGAAATGTACTGTCTGAAAGCCTTTGCTTTGTAAAATCATGTCAAGCATCAAGAATCAATAATTAAATCCATGTATTGATCCTGAAGCTGTGGCTGTGTTTTGAACCACCGACCTAAGAGCAAGAATGCCTTCAAGGACCTGTATGGGGAAAATCCTTTTTACTGGTATTTCTTAAAAACTTGAAGGTGTAAAACAAAAGCTGTAAGAATATGCAGATGTTTTTTTCTGCCATTCTTCTAATCTCCCCTCAACTGCATAGCTTCGCAGCTTTACGAGCTAGAAAGAACTTTCTATACAGAATAAGTTTCTATATAGAAATATTTCTTATAACAAAAGGAATTAATGTCCTTCTGACATATTGCTCTCTGTGCTCACATATAACACATTTAAATACACCCAAACTCCAAATGAAGCCGTTCTCATTTACATATTTTTCTGTTTTTGTTGTCAGACAACAGAACAAATATGAAATAGTGAATGAAACACAGCCCATTAAGAGTAAATGTTAACTGGCATTCACTTTGTAGTGATTTTCAAGCTGCTGCTCTGCACGACTGACCTTCTGATGTTATAACTGCAACGTTGGCAGACGAACTTACCATAAACGTAAGTTTAAAATGACCACTCAGAGCGATAGAGCAGGAGAAAGTACTGGTCCCGCACACTCATTCATATCTTATGCGATGAAGTGTTTTGCTCTGCGCTGTCAATCACAGATGCAGAGAGAGTCTTCTTCCTGAAGGGGATATAAACAGCCATAGCTCAGCAGTATTAAAAGTTACATGTATTGAAAACAGCCAGTTTAGAACAGGCTGAAACCAGGGGTTATACAGTTGTAGTAAAATTAACAGTTTTTATGGTATATTGAGCTGAAAAATTGTAGGACGCATTCTGCTCGTTAATTTGCTGAAAAAGGGGCACAATATGGGACCACTGAAAAATGATCACTTGCAGAGCATCAAAACTGGGGTGGTGGTAGCTTAGCATCCATAGGTTGAATAACGCTTTCAGGATATATGAACAATTGCATCAGCCCCTGTCAATCAAAACACATCACTACAAAACTATTTAGCATGGGGACAGACTTCTTTTAAATGGACAAGATACCTACAGTATTTACTGTATGACAGAGACGTAAGCCTTACATCTGGGTACATATGAACTACTGTATATTCATACAAACAAATCTTACTGCAAGCTAAAACAAAATTTCACAAGTATAAAACCTAAACTTAAGTTTAGGTTTTCTGACCCCAAAATAATAATAATAATAATAATAATAATAATAAACCTTCTCCATTATTATGAACCCATTCAAATAAATCTTTCCTGCTGTGGTTTTTCCCTCTTAAAATTAAATTATGGACATGTCAACATGTTTCACATTTTTTAGTGCCTTCTCTATTGAAATTCAATGAACGCTCTATAAAAATAGGTCACTGGATGGAAATCAAATAAAGCCATAGGGTTGTGCTGACATACAAAAGAAAAACACAAACACATTAAGATTATCTGACAATGCAGTTTAACGCGGTCAGACAGTTCTTACAGTGAATAACATAAACCCTCACAAACACATTCTTTAAACCCAGTGAATAGCTAAAAACGTATTAAACTAAAATATTTGACGTGCCAAATTATTCAGATGAATTATTGCTTAACTGTACATGCTTGGGAAATATACTATCTCCTCCTATTAGGTTAGAAATTTGGAGTTAACTTGAATGTGACTGGAAGTGGTTGGATGTTTGAACAGCTGATATACCAAACGAGCTATAGCGCAAAATATCAGAGCTAAAATGCAAAGTTCGGCAACAAAGCGAAATTAATGAAATCAAATACACAGATGGATTTATTTTGGCTGGGATGACCAAACACATCACTGTTGATATGAGCTCAGAAATGAAACAGTATGACGTAGTAATATTAAGCACACAGAGCAGATACATACAGTATACATACACAAGACAGTCAGACACATGCAACAACTACTAGGGGCTAGAAATAGTACCGTACAAGGGGATAATAGAGACCTAAGAGACTAATTCTAAGATCTACTGTAAACTCACCAGAAAACTACTAGGCGAAAGATAACCATAAGTTATGCTTATTATAAAAAAGTAAACTCCTATCATCTTGGAGTCCAAAAAAGTTATTTGTTCAGTGTCTCAAGTTCAAAATCTGATGTAACTTGTGAACAAGACAGCTCTTCTTTTTTTTTTACTTTTTCCTACAAATTGTGATTAAAACTCATATTAATGCAGTTTAATGTTAAGATCTGATACCATATGTAGGCACCGAGTCTCAAATCATGAGTACTTCTTTACAACCACTTTATTACTCATTTCTTAACCACAATTATTCCTATAAAAATCATTGCACCCACATTTTAGCATCACTATGTTAATACAGTGTCCTTACTGAATTAACTTCACGGCCTTTCTGCCTCCTAAGAAATGCTGTTTTTAGTTTTCAGACCTTACAATCAAAGACATATTCCATTTTCAAGAAATGTCAAATATGTACTTAGCAAGATGGACGAGAAAGTATTGTGCTTAAACAGGTGAATGAATTAAGAATTCACGTTTTCATGTTTTTTTGCTGTCTGGATTTTCAGCTTTGTGCACTATTCAACATTGGCTAAAGCAAGAAAAAAAAAATCAGTTAGTGATACATGAATGAAATGGAGGTCAATTTAGTTCTTTTTTGTTATCAGGATTTGTGGAATATGAAGACAAATTTAACAGCAGTGCCACCGCTGTGCTGTAACTCAGTCTTCAACTTTGTGAGCTGGTCTACAGAAAGTCCAGTGGTGCTCGACCGTGTTCTCGTTTGCACGCTCACTCATGTGATGCACACGCGTGTTCCGAATGGTGAAACCTTGCTTCATTATGTAGTCCATGAGGTGAACCCTTAGGGACACCTCCTGATGATAGTCACATGGTCCGAAGGTGAACGACACCTGGCAGTCTCTGGTGTCCATCATGTGTTTGTTCCACTTTGTGAAGTTGTTGGAAATACCTTCGAGCAGGGCGTGAACCTTCGTAGTTATGGTTAGCTGTGTGATGATGACAGCAACTGGGTTTGAATATTTTGACAGTTTCCGAGTGCTAGAGAGCTCCACGACCTGCTCAAAGATGTCGGGAGGGTACAGCGGCTTGGGATCGTGAAGGCACTGGATCAAAGGTTCGATTTGGTAGAAATCCGCCTCTTTCCTCAGGAGGTCTGTCTCTGTGAAGTCCACGGGAAGGGTCAGCTCAGACGTCCGCAGGAAGTTCAGGATGTACCGGAAAAGTGTTCCATCGCGATCGATGAAATAATTCCCTTGGGAATCTCGAGTTGTGGGGAAATCTCCCCGGAACATTGCGCCCAGCATGGAGTCTGGATAACGCTGCAGGGTGGATAGACTGGTGGTGTACAGGTGGCCTCCCACGTTCAAGGTAACGGGAGTAGTCATCTAGCAGAGGAAAGGACAATTTGTCAAGTTAAAGTAAAGTAGAGTTTGCATTTTGCAGTAAAAAGCGACATTGTGAACAGCAAGACAGTCAAGTGGGAAGTAGAAATACACTTAGTTTTCAGCATATTAGGCACACCTAGCTAAAATTAGTTTAATCTAACACATTAAATACTATAGTAAGTGCTAATAAATTGCATCAGTTCAACACAAACCACAGCCTCTCAATGTGACATTAACATCCCTCTAAAAACTTGAAAAAAAAAAACAACATTCTAGCTTTTATGAAGGCAGGATTTACTACCTTGTTTTTGACGGAACTGGATTCAGTTTCATTTACACTAAACTGGAAACAGAGTAAGTTTCAGCAGTGTCTGACATTGCCCTGATTTTTAGCCATCTCTTACCCGATGGCCCCAGTCTCCATTATCCATTTGTAGAAGAATACCCACTTGGTCAGAACCAAAGTAGAGAGGCAACAGATAAGTATTTTCACCTGTGAAAAAACAGTCACATTTACATGAGCTGTAACAAAGTTTCATTATGCAGAATAAGACGGACACGGTGATGTAGGCTCAGTCAAATACTGCATTACAGATAAGAGCTTGCATCAACTCTCGTGTTAGATTACGTGAACATGGGAGCTGTTTTGTGTGTATATGAACATACTGGATTCAACAGTAAAAGCTGACTGCTGTTCACTAGATGTGTTTCATACCAAAAAACAGTTTTTTTAAACAAGGTACCTTAGTTTATCATTCCAAATGACACTTCCATGAATAACAGTAGACAAGAAATTTAGCCTCAACAGTCACTCATTATAATCACTGAGGCACCTCAGGGGTATTAACACAGAATTTACCATAACAAACTAATACGGTTGCTCAGTTCTGCTCAATTTCAGATCAAGTGAACTGTCTCCCAGCAGCTCTTGCCAGTACTGCAGGTTTGACCAAACAAGGTCAATCATGAATGAAGAGCAAAGATATTTTTTTTTAAAACTGAAAAGTTCTCTTTACCATCATGGAAGTAGCCTAATCAATCTATTTAGAATTAAACAGGACATTATCTTATTCAACAGCCTGTAATTTGACTTCAGTGACCTGATATCCCATCTGTTGGCAAAATGAAGGGAGTGGCATCAGCAGGAAGACCCCTACTACCAAACACAATACATTTAGTTTGGCCATTGTTCATTCTCACCTCCTCTGGCAATGTGACACGGTTCAAAGTAGCTTCTAGACTACACTCAAAACCTGTTTCCAAGTTCAATAATAAACTTTATATCTCATATATCTGTGCATAAAAAGTCAGAGCTGAAGACTAGAGATGGTAATGCCTCTTACTTGAAACTGAAACCTAGCTGTGATGAATCCTTTGCACACAAACCCCGTCTCATTCACGTTTCATACCTTCCTCTGCTGTATAACAAACTATTTCTCCTGCACTGATGAATGTTTGTCAAGCCAACAAACCAACGTTGGCTTTAAAGCTAATATTGAGAGCAGCCATCCAACCACAGTCCATTTCATTGCATTTGCTGCCATGAAACCGAAGAAAACTGATACCAAAAGCAACACACTCCATGTAAAAGTTCAATGATGTTGCTTTTAAGTCGTAAATCCAGCGTGGGTACTCTAAAGTATGTAGCGTTAACAATTTAAGTGCTACACTGGAAATGTTAACCGTTTAGCCAGCTAACCGAGCTAACAGCTAGTTTCCAGCTAACAAGCTAACACAGCTAGCAGTCCATGAGCCATTAGCTGCGGTTACTACTAAGGTTAACACCGGGACCTCAATTGGACTAACTGGGAGTGGAAATAGACGCTAAAATAAAGGCTTACCGGCTCTCTTTTGTGCCTACTTGTGTTTTTTTGTCCAGTAACAGCGGCCTGCGTTTGGCATTTAACGGTGCAGCCGGATAGTCATTGATGTCTGCCGCTGGTTGCACCGGGCAGCTGTGCTCGGCTCCAGGCTGCAGCAAAAACTGCGCACGCAAGGAGGGTGAAGGAGGGGAGGAGGTGCTGCTGCAAGCTCAGGCACCTCTGCAGGAACACATCCCCCCCGTCTGCGCGCGCACACACACATACGCACGTGCACACACACAGACACACACAGATTCATGCACAGGGTTTTTTATTAGCAGTCCACATTACAAATGAAATGTGATTTATAACACATAATGCAATGCAGGAGCACTGCAACTCCTGCCTACTGCAATCATTTCTGAAGTATGTGCATCTGTCTACAAAAAGCATATGAAGCGTTAGGATAGAAGGAGCTGATTGACAGTCTTTTTTTTTTTTTTTCAGGAAGATTTCTTCATGCCACCCCTGGCATTCTGCTGCAGGATGATGAACTCCAGGATGAGTTTGGCTGTCCGACAAGGCCTCTCCATCACCACAGAGTGGCCGCAGTTCTCCAGCAGGTCCACTCTGCATCCGGGCAACATCTCTGCAATGACTGCAGCCCCAGACACATCCACCACCTAGATGGAATCACAGTTTTTATTACGTCTTTGAAGGAGACTGAAGGTTCTTTATTCAGACATTATTTACTAAAGAAACCTGAGCCACCGCCTTCGTGTTTGTTTGAATCTTAGAATTAGTTTAGAAGCAAAAGCTGCAGGGTGATCACTTATGTGTTTACACAAGCTTTGCTGAGTCACTGTATCAGTGAGCCATCATAATTACCTGGTCTTGTTTGCCCCATATCACTTGTAAAGGTGCAGTTATCAGATGCAAGTGATCCTGTAAGGCATATCTTGATTTCTCACCAACAATCTCCATAAACACTGTTTTTTAAAAAGAAAAAAAAAAGAATTGAGTGGGGTTTTTTTCTCAATATGAAGTATACTGTACTGTTAGATGGTCACAGCTAAAATGTGTCAGAGCAAAGTGAACCGACCCTCTTGATAAAATGTGTTGTGAGGCTGTCGGACGTCGACCAGTCCTTGAAGAATCTAAACGATGCAAATGTATGGTTAAACATCCACAAAATATGACAAACCTTCATACAAAGGAGGATATGTTTTTGTGTTTGGTCTTTACTAAATGAAGTTCTGACCTGCTGAGGAATTCTAAAGCGAACATGGGAACACAGTCTGAACATGTCCTCCATCTCCTCGGGGGTTGTGGGAATCAGCGGGATGTTCAGTGTGTAATTGCTGTGCTCCAGATCCTGCAGATGATTGTCAAATTTGGTCTCACATGGATGTCTTATACCTGCAGGATGAAAAGAAAAGTAAAAGAAGAAAAAAAAAACAGCGTTGGATTTTACACTGATGATGCATGGCCATGTTTTGTTTGGAAAAGAGGAAAATCGCAAGCTGCTAAGGAAAGCTGACAAAGCAAAAATGGGTAATGCTTTAAATACGGCAAGAGCAAACCTATGATTAAACTAAATGTCAGAAATAGCAACTTATCATAGGCATTGATTTAATTATTGCTTTGTAGGAATTCATTTGCTTTTAAACAGGCAGTATTTCATCAGGGTCAGATAGCTGCTTATTCTTCCACAGCTAACTACAAGAAGGGATACTTAGGTTTATAGCTGACTGAGGATGTTAATATGTTAATAAAAACATTAAAGCTGAAGATATCTGGAGGAAAAAAAACAAAACAAAACATGAAAATATCCAATTTACATCCTTTCTACCGAACAGCTAAAGGCAGTCAAACGATTGTAAAAATGAACATTCAAGTGGGATTCGGACCCAGCCTCCCACGTGCGTGTCCTCCAACACCACATCCTGCTCTCACCACTAATTTTGTTGCTGTTTATACTCTGTCACCTGATTGGTGAGAAGCCTTGTGGTTGGCTGAAATCGGTTTGAATTTCTGAAGCCTGAAAACAGAGCTGGGAGGAGGTGCAGAAATGTAGTTTAAACCACTTTAATTACAATATGCTGAAAGATCTGCACACACACACACAAATATCTGCGTATTAACAGTTGTATGAGTGTGCATTTTAACAAAAATGATTATCAGGTATATTCCCGTTTATTTACATTTTCAAATTACTTTATTATCAGTTGATGTAATCATTTCCCTTTTGTTTTATTTTTCAGTATTTTTAATAGAATGTGAAATATACATCAGGTCATCCCCCCCAAAAAATCTGTTCTTATCACAGGGGATGTGTTGTAACTTTGACATTATTCTGTGATTATGATTACGATGATGATTACTATTATCATTACTGTATGTGCATCATTACCTAACAGAAAAGTACAATTTCTACTCCGGCATAATAAAATAAAATATCAATAATACAATATCTATATATAATAAATAAAACACATTTTATATTATATATTATATGAAATATTATAAATATATTATAAAACATGTATATATTATGATAAGTGTTTTTATTTCTATTTACAGAAGGTGATTGATAAATTATTTCCTTTTTTTTTTTTTAATTACGGGACAATCAGTCTTATAAGCGAACCGCATATTTTCTGTTATTTTATGCATTTATTTATTATGGACATTTTTATTCTTAAGGCATTATACAATAAAAATGGTCTTCTTTTATTCACTATAGATACACCAGTAACAACAGAAAATGGCTATCATTGGTTATTAGTAGTAGTAGTAGTAGTATTCCTAGTATTTGCTTTACTATAGATACACCAATAAAAGAAGAACATTTTAGTTTTAACTTTAGACACACCGTTAAAAACAAAGTGTCTTATCTTACTGTGGTGCAGTTAGGAGTGAAATAACTCCGCTGCTGAGGCACACAAGGAATAAAACCTGGTTGCACATGATTTAAGTCTGAGAAATATTAAGTTGGATCACATTCAGTATTCTCCAACATCTTTCAATGTCATCCAACCATGCAGAGGATAAAGCGATGTATAGAAAACGGACAGATATATGGATCTTTAATGTTCAAATTTGATGACATTTTAATGAAATACTGCAGATAAAATGTTACCTATCTCATCTATTTCAAGAGATTTTTGTGTTTTTTTTCCCAGATTTATATATTACTTATATAGATATTTATTTTGTTACTCAGATGACACTGTTATCCATCCATTCTGAGCTAAAAGGAGCAAAACTAGCAGTAAAAGATGCAGCTCATTTGATAGTTTATTGCACGGAAAGGTGCTTTTGAAGATGCTTCCCAAAACTCAAGCCAGGATAGCTCTCTGTGGCATCATCTGGGAGTTTTCTGAAACTGAAAAAGAGCTCCCTCAAGAGGCACAGAAAACATGTGGCTGCCTGAAGTAAAAATATTTAACCATTTCTGTGTCCAGCCTCTCTTTGGACAACATACAAAAGCTTATTGAGGACATTTTGCTAACAGACACGTGCACACACACATCACTTACTTCATCACTATTTGGGAGTAAACAGACTCATGTCCACAACACAACACACACACACACACACACACACACACAGTTACTGACCGTCTGGACAAATGAGAGTCATGCTACAGATTTCTGCAGGATAACAGGCTGCGTAAACTCCTGCTACGTTTCCCCCCATGGAGGTTCCAACCAGATGAAACTGTTTCCTGTTTAGACGAACCGTTTCCACAAACTGAGAAGAGACACAAAAACAGATTTTCAGTCAGATGATTTAGACACCTGAAAAATGCACCTTTTTTATTTCAAAGCTCTTATCCAGAGTACCTGATGGATCCTTATGACCTGCCCCTGAATGGAATAATCCTCGTTGTTGGTGCGAGTCGTCCCCTCATGGCCGGGCATGTCCACACACACAATGTGCAGATGTTTTGGTAGATACTAGAGCAGTAGAAGAGGAGAATTACATCCTAATGATATTAGTGTGCTAAATATATGGATGCCATCCTAGAGGGAATCTTACAAGCAACTGAATACATTATTATGAAATCTAATTACCACTGAATGTTAGCATTTAAGTAGCATCAAAATATTTTATTAAAAAAAAAAAATCTGTATGAATTCATGTAGTTTGAACTCAACCATGCAAAACTTTAAGTGTTCCACATCTTCTACGAGTAAATAAGAATTGTTTCTTTTGGATCATGACAGCGGTATGACTGACAACTCCTCCTTAGTGATGGGAATAATATCTAAAGTTAGAGTTCTAATGTAGAATTTTGGTGTGTAAAATTTTACAAACACATTGTTTTTTGACCTGACCTAATTTCTTTAATAAAAAAATAAAATAGTTGAGTTTGACTGACTTGAATATAAAGTAATTTCTCTTAACCTCTTAAGACCCAAGCTCTTGTATGATGTGCATCTTAAAAAAAAAAAAATCAAAAATAAAGAAAAAAAAAATAAGATAAATAACACTAACAACACAAAAAAATAATAAGAATGAAATAATAAAATAAAAAAAATAAGAAAAATAACTCCTGTGGTAATATAACCCAAAATGTGATGTCCATGCATGTGGACACCAAGTCTTAAGAGGTTAATATTGAACCCTTTAATCTCGTATCTCAATTTGTGAACACTTGAAAAGAAAAAGCAAACAAGAAGCAAACAAACCTTCGAATCAGGTTTTGCAAGAGGGCCCTTTTTGAACTCAAGTGGAAAAGTCAAAGAGGGGTGTTCTAAGAAATTCAATGATGTTTGGAGTTTAACATGAAAGATTCATCAGTGAATAAATGCTGCAGTTCATTTTAAAGTGTATTACAGTTGATTGTAGGATTCACATTCTTATTGCCTTCTCCATGCTTCTATGTAGAGACTGTATGTTCCCCAAAATGATGTCAATAAACTCGGTTACTGTAGGTGAATTTGCTTATTCAAATGGTTTTGTTTTACATAATTTAAAGACCTGTAAGTTTGTTTGCCGTCATTGATTCCAAGCACGTCATCGAAGTTCAGCTGCCATTTTTCTGAAGCACCTCAGACTACCACAGCTCAAAAAATGAGTTTAACACAGATATGTTCCTTTACATGAAATCAGCTGAGTTTTAGTCCTACAATTTCAAGGCAGTAAGCTGTTAGTGTTTCGCCAACCTTGACAACAGTGAGCCACATGTCTTTGTGAGCAGAGAAGCCGTGCAGCATTAAGATGGAAGGCCTCATCCCAGGCTTTCCTCTGTACGAGTAGCAGAAGCGATAACCGCCACAGTCTGCGTAGCGAACCTGCAGGCCCAGAGTCCTCCTCCAGTACCTGCAGAGGAACACGTTTATCTGGGCTTAAACACAGAGACGTGACTGCACAGAAGTTCACATTGGGGTCAAGTGATAATAATAAGCTCTCTTTTGCTTACAGCTTAAGCCTGCATGGGTTTTGTGTTTAGGGAAATGTGTGATTCTGGCCTCTTAAGTGAAACTGACTTGCAGTTTCTACTCGTATATGCTCATACAGACATGAAGGGGACAGGGCTTTTTCTTTTCTTTTTTTAGGTCAGCCCAAATATGTCATTCAGATGTTCATATGTACATACAAAGAGTTCTAGTTCACAGATCCTTGGTAAAGCAGTTGGGGACAAAATTCACTGTCCCTAAGTACATATTTATCAAAGTAAATAAAGTGCATTTATGAAGCACCTGTTTGCCTCACAACGTGCTTCACAATAAAAGAAAGACAAAGCAAACTGAGGCATAGTATTTAAAAATGATAAACAAGAGATAAAACCAGATTAAAAAAAAAAAAAAAGAAAACAACTGTTTTGACCTTGACAACTGAATATTAACATTAACAAAACCACAATGTTTCCCCAACCTTGAGAAAATACACATTTAAAAGCAATCCATTACCCAGGTGGGATCTGAAAACAAATAATGTTGTTTTGTTCAATGAATATCACATGAGAAAACATTTCCATATGCTGCTCCAGAGGACCTGGAAGTCAGCTCTTTGTGTTTCCTTGCTTGCTAAGCCTCAACAGAGGGATAACAACACAAAGAGGGAATATCTGGTAGTGAAAAGACTACAACCTTGGAGGAAACTCACTGGATTTGTGTTACCCTGACTGCTAAAGCTTCAGATTATTGAACAGAACAAAGACTGTGGATGCTGCCTCTCATCGGGTACATTGAAAACAATTTCTTTGCAGCCAGTAAAGACAGGATTTAAAAAATTAGATCAATAAATAATGCATTTATTGTATATGTACATGAGTGAACCTCTGCTTTAACCAGTATGTGCAGCTTAACACTCTTCAAATCCACACAACTTCATTTGAAATGTCATTGGACACCAACTAGAATTCTAGAGGTGAACAAATGTGGGGTGAGCCATTAAAAACAAAGAGTTCTGAGTTTTAATTTTTCACGACACATCATATAACTTCAGGTCCAATGTTTGAACTTCTAAAAGGTTAAATAAAAGGAAACTGGACAGTAAAAACTAAAGTAAAGGTGTATAACAAACTGAAGAACCTTACCAGTAATACACTTGAATGAGTGCAGAGGGCCAGAGAAGGAAGGAAGCCAGAAAAGCCAGGATGGGAATAGCCAGGGTTCCCCCAGCAATGATAAACAGATTCATCACATCTAGATCGGCTGCCATGGCTCACCTAAAACTGCATCACACACATTATAGATCTGTGTAAGGAAGGGCATTGTCATTATTCCATATGCATTCAACTTTTTGTTGAGATACCAAAAAAAAAACCAAACAAACCACAAAACAACTTTCCAGAGTGATTTGTTTTAAGAGCAGCTGACAAACTGTTTTTTACAGAATCACGACATGTGACCATCAGACAAATTAAATCCCATTTCCCTTCCACAAAAGGCATTTTTAAAACTACAAAAACTTACTTTTCAGATGATTTTCCTACTCCTCGTTGCTTCTATCACAGGCTGGCACATGAGCACGCTGGTTCAGCTGATTAGTTTTTACAACAAGCAGATGCCACAGTTTTCTTGTCTGGATATTTTTTTGCTGAGTATAAATTGTATAAACAGACAATTTGTCTTTTTTTTTTTTTTATTTTAAGATAAAAACCACGTCTGTGCAGTGTATTCGTCCTCTCAGATCGCGGTTGCTCTGGATAAACTCATTGATCATTGCTCATCATTGAGGAAAACCGGGCCATGACATGATTCGGTCAATGTTTTAAAGTGAACGCACAGACCAGGCTTTGCTTCTGACTGATGGTGGTTTACACGGTGGGTACAGTGAAGGCACACGTTATCAGAATATCAAAAAACATATAATCAAATTGCATAATGCTGTTGTAAAATATATATTTTTAAAAAGGCCTTTAAAACTATCTGCTGCTTGAATGGAGCCAAAAAAAACAAAGAAATATGTTTTAATGAATCATTTTTTCAATTGTTTCAATGACAAAGAATCTTGGAAAGCAAGAATAAAACTATGCCTCTGATCAACTGCCAACAAGCAGCAACAGAAACATTCAGGAGCAACGTGCCAAGTATCACTGACCTGATTATGCAGGTTCACTGAGGACAAGGAGGACTTCCAGATTATAGAGGTACGTTTTTGTTTTGTTCATAGCCAGCAGAGATTAAAATATCAAATACAGCTGCAGCTATCAGTCTGCTCATTGAATAGTCGGTTATTCAAGGCAGCTGAATTAACTTTTAGGTAATATTTCAACAAAAAACATCAAACATGTGATAAATCCAGATTAGAAAGTGAAAGAATTTGCTGCTTGTCTTGCTGCCATGTTGCTGTGTGATGGGATTTGGGTGGTTCAATGGACAAAACAACATGAGTTCTACGATAATGTGTTTTTAAAAAATTATTATTTCTTTTTAGTTTGTCTGTTGTACTACAGATCAAACAATTTGATTTAGAAATTAATCCAGAAATGAAGTGAATCCAGCTTTAGTCTGTAACAGTGTTTCTTACACCACTATCTCAAAAACTGCACTGTTTCAGCATCCTTTTTTTTTTTTTTGTTCATCATTGTCCACTAAAATTTACTCATTAAAAGAATGTCGCAAAGCTATCAGTGAAACTGGTGGGGTTCTGAATATTATTATAAATGTCTGATGTATAAAAACAAAACACATTTTGGGTGCAAAACTGCAATTCACTTACATTTTTATTTATACAGCAACAGTTCACAATAGAAGTCAACATCTAGGGAACTTTGCAGAGTTACATCAAGACCTTACAATATTATATTACACAGAGAAATCCAACTATTCCCTCGGAGCAAACACTTGGCGACAGTGGGAGGGAAAAAAAAATCCCTTTTAACAGGAAGAAACCTCCGGCAGAACCAGGCTCAGGGAGGACGCTCATCTGCCTCAGCTGTTTGGAGTGAGAGGAGAGAGAGGAGAGCGAAAACATGAACGGTTCGAAACAGACAACAAAGAAGAGAGCAGTGGTCAGTGGGCAGGTTAATGGAGCCGGTGATCTGAAATCAGAAACACCTGAAGACAGAACCAGGGAGAGAAAGACAGAGAGGGACCAAACACAAACTCCTGCCAAGAGTATTGTTAGTGAGCATGACAAAATGGTGTATTATTGTGAAATCTAGGAGTCCTCTTTCTCTATTTTCAACTTTAAATATTAAATGATCCCTTTAAAATGTCACTAAGTATGTAGTCCCTCAATGAGTACATCTGTGATGATGCCTTTGAGTCACGCTTCGTAAAGTACGCTGGTGAGAAACAATTCAGCATCTGACTTTGAGAACCATCTGCCACAGCTACTTTTCTATCTGCAGTTTGCCTGAAAATCTCAAGAGTGAATCAGGCTGATTGAGGCCAAACCAGACAGCTTTCATGTCTACAGCAGTTTACAAGCTCAAGGCCAAAACTTACCACTGGGTGTCATGATAGAGGCAGGCCGTAGAATGTCCCATTTACTTCACGGATTACGAGACATCATCACTTCTGCTTCAGTTTTCAGGCTTCAAGCGGTTTTTGGTGTACAGGTTTCCGCCGATGTCTCAGGCCATCATCGCAGGAATTTTGAAGGAGTTTATTTCACTGAAGGAAAAGAAACAGAGCTTGTGAACCCATAGATCCTCGAACATACCGCTCTTCTGAAGTAATATTGACTCAGTAGATCCCCTAGTTGCTGTGTACAAAAAGATAACTGCTGCTATTTAAATGTCCATATCAATGTTTTTACACACGCTGGCTTATTTATCTAATGTGTAGCATGTAATACTTAGAAAGAACAATACGAGTATGGACAAGGAAGGATTCTTTCGTGATGTCAAACCCCATCAAAACACATTTTTGCCATATTTCCAAACATTTACCTGCTATTTTTAGCTAAGTTTAATCTTTTATAGATAAGGGAGACGACACAAATTCTTGCAACTATTAGAGAGACTAAATCTGCAAAGTAGCCCTGATATCATTTACTGGATGAATCGGCTTGTGTTATGCTTAAAAAACGAAAAGTTTAAAGTGCTATGAGAAACACAATGCTGCCATAACTTTTTTATTTTTTTTTTAAAACTTATTTACATAATAAATACTCTGAGTCATGAGTCTGAAAAAACAGTCTGAGACATTCACTGTGTTTTGATTTTGGAAATTAGTTCGATTACTATAGCTGCTCATAAACTGTGAAGAACACAGAGCTTTCTGAAGTCCACACAGTGAAAACACCATCTAATGCAGAGTACGGCTGCCGTTCTGCTGCATCTCTGGTCCACTACAGATGACCTACATGCAAACTAGAGCAGAACAAATGGACATGGCAACTGTGCAGGGAGGCTGGCCTTGCATGGGAATGATTCTCATGTTTGGGTTTACATAGGATGGAGGGGCCGTCCTCAATCTGCTCCCACATCACATACACAGTGGATTACATCATCCTGGTCATCGCATTGTATCCTGAGAGGGAACCTTGACACAGTAAAGCCGGCAGGACAGACATGACAGAAACGGCATGGCTGCATAGAAATGTGGATCAGGTGTGTCATGATGGACGACTCATTCGTTCAGGGTCAGGGAATTTCTCTGGAGAAATGTCAGGAATGGAGATGCACGCTGCAACTTTCTCCACGAAGCGACCTTCAGTGTGGTCAGCCTGCTTAACTGCGCTGACTGTTGAGTCCTGTGAACCTGCAGCAGAAAGGCCAGCACAGCCACAGGTGGACCTGGGTCAGAGCCCCTGCTGGAAGTGATCAGTAACATTTCTTGATGGGAATTCAGTCAAACAACCAGAATGAGATGCAGACTGAAGAAAAAGAGATGCAACATAACTAAGGGGGTTGTTCAGCTCAAAGCAGGGGGAGGTCTTTCACGTGTGCTTGTGTCGCATCTGAATCAGCTTAAAGGGCTACTCGTGCAATTTATGTGCTTCCATAAAGCTTTGGCTCAAAGGAGACAAAATGCAAACAGAAAACAGTCAAACTCAAAGCAACAGAGGCTGAGATGTTAACACATTCTCAAACCTGTGTTGTTTAGCCTCTGTTTGGCAGGAGTTCATTTGTGGTGGGAACATGATCCAACATCAGTTGAACCCAACTACAAGATTCACTCTGCAATTCTGAGCTAAACAGTTCAGGTGTGCTTTGCATTCTAGGATGCTCTGAGGAAATAAATGATTTCTAACCGGAGAATAAATCCTGGACTAGTATTGGAGTATGTTGCTAATTTGATTTTTGGGCAGACAGAACCTTCATCTGGACCATCTTTCTGTGTTTATGCTCTTGTTCCACCCAAGACACATCCACAAATGAGCAGAGGGGTCGTTTGTGCTCATTTTGCATCACTTTTTTTTCACTTTAAAAATGAAGTTCCAAAGGGTGAAGCTCAAGAATCATAGAATCCTTTTAAAAAACATTTTGTTAGACTATTTATGACTCTTACATACCCTCTTCTTCTAACTCCTTATGATCAACACAGGCCTTGTGTTATAGATTTACAGTCTCAAGGAGAGACTCTATTGAAGTAACCAATATTTTTTTGGTCAAATTTCAGAAGGCAGAAAACATGACAATAAATAAGCTGGTCATCTTGTGTAAAAACCACCGGAATGTCCCTTTAACACAGGACATTGCTTATAATCAAGGGCTTAATACCAAAGTAAAGATGCAGCGATAAACTAAACCTCGGTAAAGCATGCAACATGCAATCATGTCTTACAAAATATTAGAGGAAAAACATTAAATCATGCTGTGTGCTTCCACAGTATTTTGGTGTCATACAGTTCAAGCTGCAGGTCATTTTCTTTTCATGTGCGTTTTCCATGTAGTGCTGTTGGCCAGATGATGCAAACACTGTCACCTGAAAAAACCTCTCTCCTCCTGAGTAACACACAGTGAGCTCTCTGCTGTCAGCATCAACCAGCTTCTTTAAATGTCATCTGTATTACAGGGGAGCGACTGGAAGGCGGAACAGCAGATACCCTTAACGGCATCCTTTGCTGGGGGGGGGGGGCAGAAGTAAACATTCTGCGAAACACATTTCCCTTCCCATTACATTTAAACATAGTACACATAACAATAAATTACCTCTGTGTTCATCTGCAGGGATGAAATGGGCCCAGCTGGATGGAGATGCTGGTGATTCAGAGGAAACAAAGCCACAGGAGGTAGCACGAGGTCTGATTTTATGTCCATACAGCTCAGTTAGTTCAACGACTGCCCTCTTCCTGCATGCAGCGCTATTAGATGCAATAATGCTCTTTAACTGAGATCACTGTTACATCTTAGAGCAGCTATATATATAAACTTTAAACGCCAAGAAACTGTATCTTTGAATCTCTTTGCATTTATTTACAGGGAATCGAACAAATTCAGAATTACTGGAAGTACACCAAATTAATATACATATTTAAAGATAGATTTTTAGATTTTCAAGAAACACTTAATCAATAAAAAATACATTTAGCTTTGGGCTTGTTTCCAGGTGTCTCGCAGTGGCTGCTGATAACAATACACTTAACAATGTATGTATACTATGTTGTATTAGGTTGTGATGTGTTACATAATACCCACTTCCTTTTTTTTGTTATACAACAGATGGACAGGGTTATTAATAAAACATCTGTTGTGCCAAACTTAACCTTGTCTGTTTTTCTTACCGGTACAATGATGATGTACAATTTAAAAAAAAAAAAAAAAAAAAGGAAAGTTTACTGGTTTATGCTCCTGTTGAGGAGGCTGTGCTACATCTGAGTGGATACGGAACAAAACAATTTAGTATTTTTATCATCATGTATCTGAAATGAAAAGCAGAAGAAAAGCAGAAGTAAAATACAAACACAGTACTTGAAGTCTAGAAATGGACCTTATCAATAAAGGAAATCGCTCTAAAAGGTGATTTGCTTGCAGTTCTGTTTAATGATGCTCTGCTGAAAAAACAAGATAAATTCCTGCTCAGCTAAACTATTTATTTTCACATTGATAATAGTTAACAGAATATGTTGCAGTGCTCATCACAGCCACCCACTGACGTGCAGTTATCATGCGCCTCATCGGGGGCTGTGTCATTGTGACAATGTTATCTATCACATATATGCGCTACATTTAAAGAGGTTCAAACTCCTAGTGATAAAGTTTAATCATATACGTAGAATTAGTTAAGTGTGTAAAGTATTTTACATTCATTAATGGATAAACCTAGAAGTCAAACTGGTAAACAGAAAACAACCCAACTAGATTTCCTTCAAATGACAGACATACAAACTTATTGATTTGCACACAAAACTGACATTCTTTTATTAACGTCTCTGCCAACTAAAATAGAGCATCTCAGAAATTAAACAGAGTTAAATATGAGCCCTCCTAATTAATAGTGCAGATATGATAAGGGGGCAAGTTTTGACATCTGATGACAAATATGAGTTTATTTCTGTATGTGTGTGTGTGTGTGTGTGTGTGTTGGAACAAGTTGCCCTCAGGTCCTGAAGAGCACAGCAGCAGTCACAGCTGTTAGAGCCACAGCGACCACAGGCCCCCAGATCATCCACGGCTTCTGAAACAGGCGGCAACACAGAAATGGAAACTTGAGCATCACCGCATGAAAACCACCCGTTCAAAGGAATTGCCAAAGCTTTGACAGAGGGAGTTTGCCACTGAGATCAAGGCGGTGCAAAGAGAACGCAAGTTGCAAACAGCTCTCTCAGATAAAAGATAAGCATCATTCAAGCCAAATAAGAGAAACGGTTGTTAAGCAGTAGCAATCCAGACAGGACAAACAGATGTCAGATGTTGGAACTGTATGATTAGAGAGGTTAGATTTCTGAGACGACAAGATTTTTGTTTATGGAGTTTCCCCCGAGGAGGGCATTCTGGGGAATGAGGAAAACCGGATTAAGTCATGCAATGATCTTAAAAACACTGATGAGGATGAATGATGTAGGCCGACTTGACAGGAGTAATGTGTACCTTACTACCACAATGCGCCGAAGCACCAATACAGCAAAGCCAGGATAAGGCCGATGACTATGGCTTGAACAGGCAGCAATAGGGAAGTCTACAGAAGGGAAGGGATATTATAGTAATCAACTGCAATGGGACATACTTTGGTTGGGCGTAGCTTTATTAATAGATCCCTCAGTCAGTATTCTGTGTCTGTAACTGATGTTTATACAAATCTCAAAGTCACACATGGCTGTTCACACATATGGATGCAAAGTAGCTGGCAGTGCGTAGGCTCCTACAAATCTGTCGTTGTCGGGGTGTGTTGTGTTTAGCACATAGTTCTATGTGTTTAGCACATAGTTCTATGTGCTAAACGAGTTATGCTTGTTGACACCGTTTTCATTATTATAGAAACTGAGCTGGAAGAGTTTTCAGTGGTTTGCTCTTGCCTGGCTGTCACTTGCATTGCATCAGAGGACCTTTTCATAAAGTTACGCCCCTGTAGTCGTGTTGTTGTGTGTTTGTTGAGGCTGTTGAACTTATAGAAGGCGTACCTGCTTACAAATTTCATTCACAATGAATAGCAGCTGTGTCTGGCCCAGCTTTGTGAGTCCGCATGTGTGAACGAACCATTAAAGCAACGATAAAAGTGGATGAGTAGAGGGGAGCAGGTGTGCAGAGATAAAAACAAAACATATCTTGTGAATCTTATAAAAGATTCACCGTTTATGCCTGGAGATACTTCGCAAAATAAATTCAATAGAATGTTGAAAACATAGTTTGGAAGCAGAGCTCATGCTTCCAAAAAACAGCTGAAGATGTTTTTGCTTCTTATGAAATACAAGATAAATAGTTTAACTGTAGCTCATTATCTCTACACTCAATGCCCCCTTAGTACACTATTTGCCAAACAGTTGCTTCTCATTATATGTTGTGAAAATACCTTCCCCCTTTCTTTTGAGTGTTTGACAGATCAGCACTCACCTTCGATCCTTTCTCCTGCAGGTCCTTCATGTTGGCTTTGCACTCCTCAAGTTCATCTGTAACCAACTGTTTTTCCTGCTCAGTCTTCTTGTATTTCTCCTTCAAGTCTGACAGCTCTGTCTTAGCCTCCTCACACTGTGTGAAGCAAATCATAGCATGAATTTAAAGAAAAATTCAACCGCATGTAATTTTGTCACTTCAGACTCAGTATAAAACTTGAAAGTTGAATGTATGATATCTCTTCCTCGCAGGCTTTTCCCTGTTTATAGGCAAACTCTGTGTTCTTCTGCTGAATTGTCCATATATTTAACTGATGAGGGCAAGCTCAGTCTATTTATGTGTAAAGGACACTGTAAGAGCACTCTATTTCCACTTTGATTCAGGGGCTGAATGAGCAGCACCGCATTCTAATGGATCACTTGTGGTAAAGGATGACTTCATCTCTACCTTCTGCTATTCAACATGATCCCCCCATCCAGCCTGCTAAACCTGACTGGGAGCATGCAGTAGTGCCAGCAAACAGCAACCTGTTGGACTGGAGGATGTCGTAAAAATTCGAGGTGTGGGTGACTTGAAAGAACCTTTCAGTATAGTCAATATTATTCTGGCCTCGATGACTACAACACCGTCTAAGAATAGAAAGTCGGTTGTAGCTGCCCCAAAATTCTCCGTGATGTGTACTCGGTCCCACTTTCAGGCATAAGAGCGAGAGACGTTTTCTAACCGAGAGCAATAATGCCATCTCCATGTCTATGGTGGCAAAAAAATAAAATAAAACCCTTGAATTAGATGCCTACATAGAACCACTGCCTATCTTATACTGTTGTGTCCTAATGTTCTGAATGCTCACCAGTAGATTTAACTTCTTATGAAATCTTAACTGATGTGAAGCTATACGGAATTTACAGGCAAATAAATGACTAATACATCATCGGACACAACATGCCCAGAGGACACACAGTCACTGGCCCTGTGGAACACAAAGCATCAGGCCTTGTATTTAATAAGTATGCCTAAGAAGAAATTGAGCCCTAAGTAGCCTTAATCTCAAACTTCTCAGAGCTGCACATTGGCCTGGTGGACGTACTTTTAAGCATTTGGGTACAGGCTATTACCTTTACTGGGAAAAATGGTTAATTTACTGTAGTTGTAGGCACATTCAACAGTGTTGCTGCTGCTAAAATGATTTAAAGAAAATGATTATACACTGATGTGTAAATGTCGTGCTCACACAAAATTATAACTGAAAGCACAAAGAAGAAAGTGCTTGAAATAGGTAGATACCACAGTATCAGAACATCCTGAGTATACATGTTTCTTAACGGTTCACGAGTACAGATGTAAAGAGACCAAGGAAGGTTTGACTAAATCATTATCATAGCTCAGGTATGTTTAAATTTAAATTCTATTAGAAAGTGAAAATAAAAGGTATACTGGCTAAACAGCAGCGGATGAATGCCATTTGTGTAATTTAAAAACATGTATTTACTGTTAGCTAAATAGAATTTCTACGTGCATTTTTTCACCTCTAGCCTTGGGGAAGCAGTTTGTCATACAAGTGATGGTGTTTTCTGTATTTAATTGAGTTTTCCTGCATCAAATTACGACCTTAGTACACAATGCCGCTGTCATTGTTCATCGTTTTTGTTCATTTCACTGTATGACTCTGCACGTAATTAAAGTATTTCACCTGCGTTACAAAGACAACCTCTTCCCCTTGCTGAGAGTGCATGCAGGAAATTTCATAAATACTGTAGCACCTTGTCAACATTGGCCCGGTAAAGCAGCTTTGTCAGCAGCAGCTGCAGTGCTTCAACAGTGCCTACCTACACTGGATCTGTTTTGCCACAGTTCTGCACCAGGAACAGTTATGATTTAGCTCCCAAATCAATATGCGCACATGTACTTGCATGTACATGAGAAGGAAGAAACAGACTTGATGCTTAAAACAACCTCAGGCACCACTTATGTGTGAAAGTGCAAGTCAAGCACGAGCTATTATGTGGCTTTTCAGTTGCAGGATTGGAAAATATAAGTAAAAGGCTGGGTCTAACTGTCAGCTTTGAAGTACAAGTATTCATCAGTATGATTTATTCTGAGCTGTAAGATCCCTTAGATACCTCTCTCTGCAGAGCCTTGCTGCAGCTGTCTGCCTCATCCAGTTGGGTTTGCAGCTTGGTGCTCTCCTGCTGGTGCTGGAGCTGCAGGGCCACCAGCCTCTTCTCCAGCTCCTGTTGGGATCGCTCGAGGGTTCTGAGGCTGTTGTTCAGCTCAGCACTCTGGGCACGCGAACTACCAGAAACAAAACACTGAGTTCAATAGTTGAAGTATGACAAGACGAAAAGTGTGCGTTATACTGTATAGCAAAACATGCTGGAGCTGAGTCAAGCAAACAAGGCACAGGGAGCACAAAGGTAGGGGTAAAGCTGAGCTCTTGGTAATGTAGATCAGTGCACTGACCTGGCAAGGTCCTTCTCCAGCTGCTGCTGTTTCTGCAGCAGTGCCTCTCTCTCAGTGCGCAGTGCTGCACAATCACTCTGCAGGTTACCCTTCTCTTTCTGGTGAGTCTTGAGGAGTTCCTCTTTCTCAGCCCGGAGGGAAACACATTCACTTTGCAGACTGCTCTTTTCCTTCTGGTGCTTATTCGCAATGTCCTGTTTCTCAGATCGCAGGACAGAACATTCCTTCTGAAGACCGTTACACTCTACCTGCATGGACTGCAGCTCACTGGCTGTAAAAAAAAAAAAAAAAAAAACTGGCTGTAAAAAAAAAAAAAAAGAAAAGAAGCACCTTATGTAATGATGCATCATTTGAGCAGATGTCTGTTGTTAATTTGTTTACAGAGGAAGTTAAAATTATCACAAAACCCTTATAATTGCATTTTTTTCACATAGCCTCTGAGCTTGAACAGATTGAATACAGCTGCAATTTTCTTCTTGCCAGAAAATATTTGAAATCATGCAGCAAGTAACCACTCTCTAGAAAAGAGAATATAAAGATTTGATTATAGGAGACAAGAACTACAGCTTATATTTGGAGGTTAAAATTGTTGTATTTACAATCAGTGTGGTAACCCTAAAATCCTTAAAAAAAAAAAAAAAAAAATACAGGCAATACTGTTTTAAATAGATAAAACATTAACAGATACTACAAGTGCCTGCACAGCTCATGAATAAGCAGGAATAATATTTCAAGGCAAATGCTTCCTTTCATGTATATATGACTGAAATAAACAATACTATGTGACCTACAGTTATTATGTCAGATACAAATAGTATCCTTTTTACCATTACATTTTGTTATCATGTGTTTAGACGTTATACTACCTTGTATTTCTGCAGTTTTCTGCCACTGCTTGCTCTGCTGCTGAAGGTCACGCTGCAGGTTGTCAATCTCACGCTCGTATTTGTTGGCAGTCTGACGCCACTTGTCCAGATCGTTCGAGACTGTTGCCAGGTTAGAGTGGATGGCAGCGACGTCACGGTCCCGCTCAGCAGTGGCCGCCTCCAGGGCACGTTTCAGGGACTTCACCTCATCACGTGCACTTTGTAGCTCGTCACGCGAACCGGAGGAGACGTCTAACTGCTCTCTGAGAACGCCCACCTCATCTTGGAGCTGCCGCAGCTGGCCTGTTCAGACCGGAGACAGTGTTTAGATTAGCGGTGGTGACATTTTTACTAAGACAGACACTGGGTCATAGAATTCAGCTACTTCAGGCAACAAAAACACAAAACTTTCCAATCCACAAACTACACAGACGTACCTTGAAGATATTTGATCTGTTTTGCAGATTCATCGGCTTGTTGTTTATTTTCTTTCCTCTCTTCATCCAGGATACCTACAAAATATAGTTGGTGTCACCACAAAACTGCTTTTTAAACAATCAGAACAAAATTAGAATGCAATGTTAAGAAACCTATTTGCACCTTTGGAGAAACTAAAAAGCCAAAGTAAATTGTAATATTTCTGTATGCTCTAAAATGAGATTATGAAATGGCAGTGCATCTCTTAACTGTCAGAGATAGAAAGTAGACCTTAACCAAGCACATGCTCAGTGACCACAAACTGGCAATCGAAATACGAGTGAAGCTGTGGCACTTCCTTCTCCAATTTAAGCACTATATGAAATGCGGAACACTAAGAAGTTTAACTCTGTGACTTCAGATTTGAAAGTTTTAAATGACATTTCAATACACAAAATATATATATTTTTTAATTAATCCTACCACTTTGAAGTGAATTCAATTCAAATAACACTTTTTTTTTATTAAGTTGCAGTAAACTATGTGTGGTTGTGTGTGTGGACATGTGTGGATGGTGTGTATCTAACGTCAGAGGTGTTCTGTGTTACCTTGTAGTTCAATGCATTTATGTTTCTCCGTATTAGCAAGCTCCTGGGCCTCTCGGAGGTCATCATTCAAGCGCTGAATCATTTTTTCTGAGTCACCAGAAGACCCCTTGTTTGACCTGGTCAGGTCATCTAATGAGGAAACACAAAACGAAATGATCCCAGTTAAAAAGATCCATCGCCCTCACATGAACATTTAGCTGTAAGGGCAGAACCTCTTATCTTCCTGCAAAGGTCACCACACTGCACGCACAGAGACTCCAAAGCAAAGCCTAAATAATGATACCTCACAAGTAATGATGGTAATTCAGTCAGTAACCATAAAAATGCAAAAATAACACAAAGTTCCACCATTTTCATTTTGCTACAGTCCCAAATATTTAACCAGGGCTGACATACTAAAAGATTTCCCAGGGTATTCAAATGGGCCTATTACATAAACTAATTGCTAACCTCAAAATAGACACAACTGCATTATCTGCATTTTTTATCAAAGCTTTCATTCCAAATTATCCGTCACCCATGCCACGTATGAGTGCGTGGCACATCCACATGGCTTGTTAATAATATGTAACTGTAAACAATGCACAAAGGGGACAGACTTGCCAGCGTTGTCAGGGGTCTGTTGTGTTTCCTAGAGGTGCAAACAAGCACCACAAATACTTGTGCTTTGCAAATACCCAGTGAATATCTTGATCCTCTAATCTAGCATGGCTAGAAAAAGAGATGACCTCATCTCAGAGCGAGCGTTTGGCAGAGGAGAAAACAAGAGTTGGGACAGGTCAAGCATGTGCACCATAAATGGACACATCACAGGACTTGGACTGCTGTGAAATGCTGCATTTGTTGTGAAAACTGAAGTGTCATTGTGTCTGGATTGCATGGCTACATGAGCACACAAACACTCATATATTGTTACTAGTGCTGTTAGATGGCGGTGATAAATGTCTCTAAAATTAACGGGTCTGAAACAAAGGCTGGAAGCTGGTGACACCCTCTGACTCAAGCACATGACCGCCCTGCTGCGTGCCAGACAAAGGATGGGAGGGCAATGCTCTGCCCAGTATGTGGTTGCGTGTTCCCTCATGTATGCATATGTATGAGCGCGAGCCAGAATGTGAGTGGGTTCCCTGTAAGTGCGCTGCCTGTGTCCAGTTTGTGTGGAAGATGAATGCCCTCTGTAGACAGCCGGACTGGATAAAGAGTATTGCAGATGAGGGTGCAACATGTTATCTTTAGTAACATTAGCTATCACAGCCATTATGCCTTAGTGTCGCAGAATGACACCTGACAAAGTTGTAATGGGATTAGTCCGCGTGTAAAAATACCTCGCAGACTAGTTGGGAATACTGAGCATCACGCTGCCTCAAGTGACGACAGAAAAAAAAAAAATGTAGGAGAAAGTCTTTTTTTAGCTCAAGCGCTGAAGGCTAGAGCCATCACGGTCCATCTTTCTCCGCTGTCTGTTTCCCTCCCAATGAATGTGACAGCGTTCTTTAACTGCATCAGAGGGTTAGCACTGCTTGCACTAAATGTCCACAGTATTCTCGTTAAAACTGCTGATCACACTGCCGGGAGGGATATTAATTTACAGCTGCAAAATGTTTTGTATGGGACGAATCCTTATCATTCTGAAGTGACTGTGATACTGTTGTTGTGAGGACACAGTTTGCTTTGTGCTCCCCATATACTGTGCAGTGTAGCATTACAAATTCATTCATCATGCAAAATTGATTCACTCTCTAATATGCTTTGCACATTTTTGCCATGAATGTCCTTGTTGATGTTTTTTGCATTCTCTTGAATTAAACCATCAGCACGTTGATCATTACGTTCTATTTTAATAAGTCATTCCAAATGCCACAGCTCTCACACATTAGTCTTGCCCTCTGTGCAAAGAGACTCCATCTTCTAATAAGCTGTTGACACGGGAGAAATCAGCCTCTAAAACAAGGCCATCTACAGCTCTGTAAGCTCTAAAGCTACCCAGCTGTCCTTTTAGGTCCTGACACTCATTTCAAGTGTGACTCATGCCTTTTTTTTTTTTTTTGCCAGGTACGAGCCATTTGGAGATCAAAACAATGACTAGTCATTTACTCAGATTGTGTTTGTCCATACACAGAGAGTAAAATAATAAAGCTGGGTTACCTTTAATCAGTGATACGTTATTCAGGGGATCACTCAGCTCTTTCTCATCCATTTGCTTATCTGTACAAAAAGAAAAAAAAGCACATATAATGTAAAGAAAAAAAGTACTTACACAGATTAAAATCAAGCATTAATGTTGACAAATGAAACAGACTATAATTAATGTCTTAACCAATCTGGTTAAGGCTTTTGTTGCTGTTTTTGTATTTCTTAAGGTAAATACAAAACTGGATGTTCACCTATAAACACATAAGTACTTTTTTTTTTCTTGAAGAAGTAGCTGCATAGAGCTGCCAAGAAATTTCCTTTGAGGACCAGCTGGCAGAAAAAGAACTAATAAAAGGTTAAGAATGAAACTTAGCAGGAAATATTACCTTGGGTGATCCAGGAGCTACAGTACTCTGTGTGCTGAGGCTACAGCAGTCCCTGACATGAAGAACTCTTCTCCAACTATCAGATTTTTTCAGATGTGAAATGGAACAGTCCAAGCAATGAACAGGGGTGGGGGGGACACCCAGTGGATGACAGAGACTGTGTAACAGACCTCCCTGCTGCTGTTGGACTGAAGCCAACACTGACAACAAACTGGCTAAATAAACAGACAGATTTCTTAAGTGTGGTCAAAATGCTACACTAGAGGCAAGTCTGATGAATGTCCCTAAAAACATGACCCCCCCTCCTATTTAGTGGCTGAAGTCCCCAGCCCCTCCACACTGGGTCATGTATCCGAGTAGGGCATCTCGGAAGCTGCAGCTGCATGCTGACACAGAGGGGTTTTGTTCAGCACGCTGAGCTGCTCTCTGGCCAGTTGGTACTGATGTAAAACTCTACAGGATGACAGTGAATAGGGACTGCTGGTGTTAGCGTGTGTGCCACGTATGTGTCGCATCCACATCCTCGCTTTGTTTTGCCCATTGGGACACTCACTTATCACTTTAAAAGCTATGAAGGACTGGCCCTGGAGTTAGATGTACACGTCAACCTGAGAGGAGAAGTTCTGCTGTCACTTATTTAGGGCTGTACAGTTTCATATCGACGATGGTACAATTATTTCTTATCATTAAAATGCAACAGGCTGTTGTAACAGACTGGTGCAAGTATGAATAGCTCTTGTGTCAACAGTGTTTTTCTTCTCTAGGTCAGGCCATTCCTAATGATAACATACATAAAGTACTTGATAGTAGAAAGCTGCACCCTAATAAATTTAACTGTGCAGGATAAAGTGCAAATTAATCAGTGTTAAGAGGAGACTGTCACCAACTCCACAACACTGGCAAGCTGCATATTTGAAGTGGAAATGAATGTATTAAACACATACAGTCTGCAGCTTTCTGCTAAAAGGTTCAAAAAGTTACAAAAACAAACAAAAAAAGGAGATAATCCATTGTTAGACACTGAAATCATTAACTTTGGCAACAGAACTTATCTTACAACTCTCATCATGAAATGTGAGATCCAATGAATTAAATTAAAAACATACAGTGAGTGACCTTAAGCCCAGTTTGTGACACAAAAGCTAAAAATTAAACAATATACAAATATGCAAATCACTGAAATGTTCTCAGTCAACTATTCTAACCCTTCTAAATTATTTTTTAAAAAGTTTTACCATCTTTACAAACTGTATTTTCTTACAAGGCAGTCATATCACTCTAGAGTAGAAACATGAATAGCTCCACTCTTAAAGAGACATCCAGGTGAGCGGTAAACATATTCTCACTGAAGTGATTGATCGACTCATCTTTTCTTACATACAACTCCCCATCAAAAACTCAAGTTATGGTAACCTACACAATCAATATCATATAAAATGATTCAAACCTCTGGTCACAGGCTTCAAGAGCTAGTGTATGCCAGATTGCAAAGATTAATGGCTTGAAATGTATGTTGTTCTACAGACAGCTGCCAAAAACGTATAGTCTCGACTCAGCAGTAATTCTGTCTTGATGATGTTGAATATATTCTGCCATGAGGCACTGGGCAGCCATCTTGAATGTAAGAAAAGTACAGCGTAAACCTGCAGTATACTGCCAGTTTATCAGGGACACATGGCTAAAATTGCTGCAGTGAAATGCGATATTCCCTGCTTCATGAAGATTGCAGTGCTCAGTGTTTGTTGATACCATTAATTGGTAATGTTGAAGGATTGTACAGTTCATGAACCAAGGACTTATTGCAGGGCTCTCGCATTAGATTTAGGTAGGTGCACCTAAAAAAAAATCTGCTGTTTACTTGTGTAGGTTATAAGGCTGGCCTGGGCATATATATTACTTATATGAGGTGGAAGCAAATTAAATGAAACTCAGTAAACAGTCATTTTGTAATTCACGACAAAATCTAAATGACATATAGTGTTGTATAGTATACTGTCAGTGACTTTGTTATACGTTTTTGACCTAACCTAACTTTCTTTCTCTTTAATTTATGTATTTAAAAGGAACAGCGTGCAGCTCAAACATAAATGTCACTATTGATGCACCCTACCAGATTATAGTTTCAAGTAATTTGCTTCTGCAAGCCATTGGCATGACGAACTAACTAACTAACTAACTAACTAACTACCTAACTAACTAACTAACTAACTAACTAAATAAATAAATAAATTTGCTAAAAACAAAACAAATAAAAACTATTTCCAGTCAATACAGGAAACCAATAATAGTATAAACTTAATGATACAGAGAAGAGCACACAAGGCACTCGGGAAACAATAACAAACACACTGAAGTTAGCTTCTGATTCGTAGCTTCCGGCAACAATTAAGGGGAAAGTTAAGGGGAAATTAAACATGCTCGACTGATTCATTCTTCCTCCCATTTTAATGACGTTAAACTGTGTTAGACATTTAGATAAACTCGTAATGTTTTCTGACCATCACTTTCACTTTTTATAATACCTTTATTCTACTTGTGAAACTGCAAAAACAAACATTAAAAATAACTCCACCTTTTTGCATTTTTCACAAATAGAAGAAAGGTATGGCAAACTAGACAGTGTTTTAAAGACTCTTTAGCCTCTGTGGGAAAATCGAGTCACGATATGAACAGTTTATATAAAGTGGCTTTAGATCTGGACAAGTTTGACATGTAAGATGTGGTCTACATGGAAAGTAAAATCCTAAAAATGAAGAAAAAAAAACAATAAAGGTCTCATTTTCTATTTGTTTACAGTTGGTTTCAGTCAATATTAAACGTTTACCTAAAATGGTTAACGCGGTTTTTGTCATTAAAGTGTGGGGGAAACCTCATTACTCACTCCGGTCTGTCAGTAAAGCTTCCCTTAAGTTTTCCCTTAACTACCAAAGCAGAAGCTACGAACCAGAAGCTAACTTCAGCGTCGTCTACGCAAATAAATAAGCTGACTAATATGGCATGTATGCTTTTATCTAGGTTGTTTAGTGAACATTACAGTAGGTTACTGGTTAGAACGTGGAGCTATTTGTTTCGCTTCCCTGCTGTTGCCTTCAATAAAACGTTGAATGTGGCAAAAAAAAAAAAAAAAAGTACTTTAACTACCACTAATCCTAACCACACAAATCCCCAAATATGGCTAGCTTACTGCCGTTAATAAACAAGTGGCTAATTTAGCATTAGCTAATCATGCTAATTGCTAATTGGAGGTCTAACTTCGCTCGGTTGGAGTTAGCTTTAAGTTAGCTGTCTTGGACTCCTGTTTTCAAGGCATAACAACGTGTCAGAGAAAACACGGCTGTGCGTTCATCCTTCCAGCGGACTACCTCACTGAAATGCGATGGGTGTTTCCTTTCCGCCTGTTACGTGTCACGCTAGAAAGTCCGAGCAGTTTACTCATAGGAGCCGAACCAGAAGTGATGCTTTACTCCAGAGGCAGCGGTGGGGGCTGCAAAGTTTTCTGTTAGCCGAAACCAAACCAACAGATGTCCGACGAGTGATTTCTTTTTTCTTTTTTTTCCCCCCCACAGCTTTACCTTATTTGTCGAGTATTTTCTGCTCCCCGATGACTACCTCTATCTCCACCTGGTTCTGGAGTGACAGATTTTGGTTTCCCGAAAATGTGTCCTGGGCGGACCTGGAGCATCCACCACCTGGTGTGGAGTATCCCCGGCTGGAGCACTTACTGTGTATTCTGCCCCTGGCTGTCGGAGTTTTTCTCCTGAGAAAGCTGTTTGAAAGGTAATTTCGACCTTTAGTTGTTTTGTTAATGGTGGTTAGTTTCGTGTGTGTGTGTGACTTTAAGCTCATGGAGCAACTTTGGTGCGCAAAGAAAAAAAAAGAGGAAGAAAAAAAACAAAAAACGTGACTATCCAAATGACTTCCAGGAATCTGTAATTCTATTTTTAGTGATTCTTTGTGAGCACAAACTATCTAGAAAGTAGAACTATGCAAAATTGTCATTTCTATCATTATAATTATTAGAATAATTCTTATTATATTACCAAAAAGTCCCAGCCCCCTCCATGTGACTGCTGATTGTAGTCCATGTTTCAGTCACAACAACATTTCAGGTGTGACAATAATACAAGAATTCACAGTTTTTGCCTTTGTTTGTTTAAAAGTGCATTAAAATATCTCCACTAGACTGATCCATGTTTATCTTCCTATTTTTTTTTTGAGGTGCTTTATGGGGAACTAAACCAGAAATGGCATCGCTCAGGCTAAAGCAGAACGTTTCATTCTCGTCTGTCTTCCTCAGGACAAACTTTTACAACTGCACAGGAAGTCCTTTTTTTACAGCTAAATTAAGCAAATGGACCCAACTTTCCGAAGAGTGTTTCATTTAAAGTAAAATCACCGCTGAAGGGAAACGCCAAAACTCCACTCTACTCCATGCTGCTATTCATTCACTCTTTTTTTTTCCCCCCATGTTGCGGAAACTATTCCAGATAAGTGGGGTGTTGTTAGGTTGACTTGTAACAAGTGACTCCCAATTTGAAAACTATCCAGCTCAACCTGATGATCTTGTGACACACATTAGTATTTTGATTCCATGCGTCCCCTCCCATCCTCCTGTCTCCCATAATCTCACATGACAGGTCATCACGGCCCTGTTTAGACTAGGTGCAACATTCCCCAGGATTCCTCCTCTCTACCGCTTGCCTCTGCCTCCCCAATGGCTTCTATTGTGCTCTCCTTCCTTGTCACTCTAAGTCAAACACAGTCGTGGATGTCAAACATAACTTTGTGGGTAAACTGTGAAAGCTCAGCCACTCATGTTAATGGTGGAATCCCCTGGAAAATGCTGGCTAATAGTTTGTGTGTTTCTGTAGCATGAAACTTCCCACTCTGACTCTGTCCTTGTCCGAATGTCTCTTTTAATACCACACCATCTCTGTGTCCCCACCCTCTGTCTGTGTGTATACAGGCTAGTGGCCAAGCCCTGTGCCCACATACTTCAGATTCAGGCGGGAGTGCCTCGGCAAGCTCAGCCCAATGCTGTCCTGGAGAGGCTGTATCAGTCCAAAACGGTACATAAAGCCTGTGTTTGTTCTGCAGTTCATTGCATGTTCCTGCACACAGTGCAACACTGTCATCGCATTGGAATACGCCACCACATTCATAATTATACCTTCAGTAAATACCTCATGTCGTGTGACAAGATTACCTATTGGTATGTGGTTTTACAAGCAGTTACTTTGGAAAAAGCAAGTCATGTTGTAATTGTTCTGTATTGTCCTCCTCAGTGTCCAGACGCGAGGCAGCTTGAAGGACTCTCCAAGCAGCTGGACTGGGATGTGCGGAAGATACAGAGATGGTTTCGAATCCGTCGGAACCAAGACAGGCCCAGTATGCAGAAAAAGTTCTGTGAGAGCATGTAAGTTGCTACAGAGGTTCCTGCTGTACTGCTCTATGATTCACATCCAGTAAAAATTAACTGCACTGCAGGAAATGTGAGGTTAGTTTATGCTGATTTACAGGTGGATCCACTCTGGCCCATATTGAAATACCTCAATTATGGAATTGATTGTCATGAAATTTTGCACAGACATCCAAAGGTTTTACTTATATTGTCAGCCTCTACTTGATCACTACTTGGTCACTGACCCCAGATGATGAATCCTAATGACATTAATGATGCCTTGATTTTTGTTTCAGTGCCACTCTGATGTTGATATTTGTGCTTTTAAATCAAGTGTCTCAACAGCTTTGGGGTGGATTGCCATAAAATTGAATACAGATGTTCTTTTGGAAACTAATTACGTTGGTCGTCAGTTTTCACACAGTGCCATAATCAAGTAAAAAAAAAGTTTTTTAAAAATGTTCTTTTACAAGACTCATGATGTTTGCATCAGGAGTCGACTGATGTTTTTCTTCAGGCTGATATCGATAATGGTTATTATTAATCAAGGAGCTCAATGATAGATATTTGGAACCCATAAAAATTCTGAATAACACAAACTTAATAGTTGCTTAAAAAGCTCTTGTTTATTCACATATTTAGTGTTTGTAATTAAAAGAGACCTTTTCAGCATTTTACCTTCAGTGTTTTACCGTGATGTGTAACAAGATAAATAGTGTTGCAGGCCAGACTTTGCTTAAGACCACAGAGTGACGACTACAGATCGAAAGAAGCGGCTGGATCAGAGCCAAAGAAGCACACTTTAAAATTAACTAATTTTATAGACAGTTTGTTTTTTTAAAAAAAGTAACAAGAGTAAAATGAAATATGTCAAAAGCTTACAAACAAATTCATTTTCTAGAATATTTAAAACTGTTTGAAGCACCGGAAAAAGACAAAGACAACAAAAATAAAGTATACAATAAAATAGAAATAAAGTACAGGTTTAGACCAGACTTTATAAAAAGAAAACAAGTAAGCAGTGGAATAAACAGCTGTATTTATTTTACTTTAAAAAAAAAAATGTCTACAGTCAGAGTAAAGCTTAGACCCAAGAGGAGCTGATTCCAGCAGCAGCAGCATAATGACTAAACAGCATTTCACCATATCTGGTCTGAACTCTGGGCACCAGAACCTGACCAGTCCCTGCAGATCTGAAAGACCTACCAGGCTAGCACTTAGCAAACATATCGCTGATGTATTTTGGGCCCAGACCATTCAGGCTTCTAGATAATAAATATGGCCTTAAATTCAGTTTCATGTTTAACTGGAAGCCAGTGAAGGGGTCTAAGAATCAGAGTAATGTGTGTTTGTCAGTAGAATGAGGAGACCAAGTGAGATTTTTCTACTTTGTGAGCTTTATTCTTTTCTTTTAATTCAGGTGGCGCTTCACATTTTACCTGGCGATCTTTCTCTATTCCATTTCCCATTTATGGGTGGTAAGTTGGTCTCACACACTGCATGACTTTGCACAATACCAATATCGTTGCACTGAAGTGATTTGTTTGACTGACTGTATGCTTTCATTCACATTTTACCCGTTAGTCACCTTGGATGTGGAATACCAGGCAGTGTTGGTACAACTACCCCTTTCAGGTTAACATCTTTTTTTTTTCTTTTTTTTTAAAAAATTACCTGCATCATATTAAGCAGCTAATATCATGACGTAACTCTGTGATGTGATCGGTTCGGCATCGTTGTGTTGGCAAGTCAGTATGACTACATATTTGTTTAAGGTGTGTTTGTTTATTTCTCAAAGTCTCTGAGTCCTGGCCAGTACAACCACTATGTAGCTGAACTGGCTTTCTACTGGTCTCTGATGTTTTCTCAGTTCATAGACATTAAGCGTAAGGTGAGTCAACAACACTATTGTGCTGCCTCTAAATAGCACCACTGAACACCCATTATATCAGACCAGTTCTTTCAGTCTCTCGTGTTTACTTTGTTTAATATCCCTTTTTCATTCATTTCTTTGGCACTGTGCTTTAGCCTAAATGTCACGTTGTTTGCTGTTGCCATCGCATTAGAATTAACGTATGATTATGTGCTCTGGGAAAATACATCAGACAATACAATGTACACACACACTTGCATGTCTGAAAAAGTAACTAAAGGTGGAAATTGTTTAATTTTTTTTTTGTTTTTTTTGACCAATTTGTGCAGACAGATTAAATTTTGTTTGACACAGTGCTTACAGATAAAGGTGATGTGCTTGAACACAATTACAAGGAAAATGAGCTTTTTCAGTCATTTAATAGACAAAAATATCAATAAGTGTAACATTCCTCTGGTGAAAAAATAAGGACATCTTGGGATCAGAAGCTAGAATTGCCTGTTTTGGCAGAAATAACTTCTTGGCTGCCTTTTGCGTAATCGTCCACCAGCCTTCGACGATGGCTTGCTAGAATTATTGATCACTTTTCTGTGCAAAATTCCTTAGGTTGCAAGATGTTTCAGCATTATCTTGCATGTGCTGCCTGTCCACAGCACATTGTTCCAAATGGCCCGCTCTTTGCCTTTGTGTTCACTGACAAACCGTAGTTTTGCACTGATGTTCTTTTTGGACAGCAGAGACTTTATTTCATGACACGCCTCCCATGTAGGTCACATTTTTGGCTGGTTTGAATGCAGATGCATCACTTTATCTGCAACTTTTGGATTCTTGGAGATGCCTTTTCATCGAAGGCTCTGCTCTAAATTTACTGGGGTGGTCTGTCCTGGACAAATCCACAGTTGTGTAAAATTGAAACCATGTGTGGATGATTTTCCTTGCAGTGGACTGATTCGTTTCAAATAATTTGGAGATCTTTTTAAATCTCTTTCTTGACTCAAAGGCATCCACAACTGTTTGTATGAAGACCTTAGAGATGTTTAGATCTTGGCATGATGACACCTCACACTTTGATGGCAAAGAGAACACCAGATTCTGGATGTCAGGGGTTTAAATGGGACATCTGACACCACAGATATGTATAATAAAGGCTAGCTGTCTCGTCTGCGCTACCAGCCAAAGGAATTGCACGGCCACACTGGCGGCCATCTTGGTACGGTCCGCTCGCTCACCCATAATGTTGTGTTGGAGTGGTGCATGTGCTTTTTAAATAGCCATAACTTGCTCAATTTTTTTACCGATTTTCAAACGGTTTGGTTTGTTTTAAACGTCAGAGGTGGAGTTATGACACTACTCTCACGGCCAATTTGTATTTTAGTAATTATTTTGTATTTTATTTGTATTTCTGTAATTTGAATTGTAGCCACGTTAATAACGTTTGTAAGAAACCAAACCATTTGTAAATCCATCAAGATTTCAGCGAGATAAGAGTATTTATGTTTGTGCAGATCACTCACCTTCCTTCACGTACCACAGGTAGAGCTTGCCTGTATCAAGATGGCCGAAGGGTGATCCCGTTCAAAATGCCGCCTTAAGACATCTAGCCTTTATTATAAATATCTATGCCTGACACTCCCTAAGGAGGGTCTTATCTTCGACACCTAATCTGGAACCCCTCATTCAAAACTTTATGGATTAAAAGGTGACATAAATGCAGGGGTATACTTACTTTTGATCTGTTTTCTAACTTACATTATGGAAATGATTCATTGTTATGCGTCATTTGTTTTAATACATTACCTTTAACAATAGGTTTCAAAAAGGATCAAGTGTTTGTTTGCTTTGTCATATGCCTATTCAGATGAATGTAGCTTCACATCCCAGCCTGTCACCCCACGATTTACACAAGGCCATTCAGTTGGTGTCATAACTGACAGTACTGACAAATGTACAGACCGCAAGTTAGGTTCTCATTGTTCATTCAGTTGCAGGTGTTTTCATGTGCTTGTAAATTTACAATGCAAGCAACTCGAGCGTCCCATTCATCACTTTGCCCTTCTTTCTCTCTGTCATCTCCATTCATTTTGCTGTTGACAGGATTTCGTCATCATGCTCGTCCACCACCTGGCAACCATAATCCTCATCACTTTCTCGTATGCCAACAACATGCTCAGAGCCGGCACTTTGGTCTTGTGCGTGCACGACGCGTCTGACATCTTCCTTGAGGTACAGAGATGGGTTTTTCTGCTTTGTATTCTTTTTTCTTTTTCTTTTTTTTCTGTCAGTTTTAAGTAGAAAATTTAAAGGGGGTTGTGGGTTTGTTGAAAGTGTAAGTAAACACAGCTGGGAGAGATTATACAACTGTGCTGTGAGCTACTTGTACCCGTTTCACAGAGAAACACATTTCTTATGGACATTAGATTTGCAAAATGTCATTGGTGTAAATTACAACATTGAGATTTTGATTTGATATTTTCTGGTTTTTAATCATGAATGTCTTATTTGTCCCCCAAGGCAGCCAAGCTGGCCAACTATGCCAAGTACCAGAGGCTATGTGATGGCCTGTTTGTGGTGTTCAGCATAAGCTTTTTCCTCACTCGACTTGTCATCTTTCCTTTCTGGTGAGACAAATGAGAGCTTGTTTACACATTGAATGACATGTTTGAATAATAATAGCCATTTTACACAGAATCGGTCACTTAATGAACTGAAAGATGTCATAATAATATATCGAGAGCTCCAGTAACTTCTGCATGTGTGTATTTGTTGAAGGATTGTTCACAGTGTTCTGTTTGAGAGCTGGGAGATCGTTGGACCATATCGGGCCTGGTGGCTGTTCAACGGCCTACTGCTGGTCCTGCAGACTCTTCACATCATCTGGTTCTACCTCATCGCTCGCATTGCTATCAAGGCCATATTCAAGGGAAAGGTTAGTACTCTGGCTTTCTGTTGGGTGTAGTACAAATTTTAGCCAATACTAGCGGCATTGCTTTATCTGTTGGTCCACACCTTTGGTCAAGAAATCTCTGAGTACCCTGGTACAAAAATGATAAAGGTACATAGCTGAATGTCCATGATTATGTTCCAGCTGGGGTCAGAGGGATGCACTATAAAGCAAGTTTGATTTCGACAGGCTTTCTTTGCATTTGGCTGGCTCAACAAAGCCACAGTTTGAGGTAATAGTATCAGGAAAGTGTTCGTCAGCTGTCTTTGTTAACCCAGGATTTCATCAGACTCTGCATGCTACCAAAAAAGGAGCCATTTGTTGCGTCATATGACTCTCCTTTCAAACAAAATGGACTGCCTACTTCAGTAAAGAGGAACAGATTACTATAATGGAGAGCTGTGGTGAATGTAAAAATGTGTTACAGTAAAATGAGCTGGTATTTCAAATGATGTAAAAGAAGAGTTATGGTATAAAACTGTCAACTGTGTAAGTTAATATATTTATTTTAACCACTCAACAAATGCGTTTAGGTCTGACACTACCCCATAATGAAGGATACATGAAAATCACTTTAGTTTTTGGCCGAGTAAAAGTGAAATTTATGTTACTGATTGAATATTCTCTGTGATAAATACAAGTAGACCAGTCAATTTTGTAATCTGTGTTCCATTAGCTGCAGTACCAGCAGTGTAAATGAACTTGTTTTCCAATCAGGACCAAGTATAAAAACATAATTCTGCATCTACAGCTGAAGATAAAGATATTACATGAAGAAGAATTTGCTGAAAAATGTAAACATCACTTATTAACAAAGTCTATATTCATGTCAATATCATCTACAGACAGCAAAACAAAACATACTGGCCAAAACAAAAAAACATATTTTTCAAGTTAGATGAGAGGATTCTAAACCATGTAGTCCAGCAGTAAAAATACGAGTTCAGCGTTTTACTCATTGTGCCACCCATAGACATGTGCCTTTATTATACATGTGGTGCCACCGATCAGCTCGATTAGAATCCCTTTTCATTCCTGCACATCTTTTCCATTCTGTCAGATGTTCACAGGGCTCAAGACTGAGACCTTTGTTTTTTTTAAGGGGGTTTGAGTTGAACTTTCAACTGGTCGCACTGGTGTGAGTGCATGATGATCATGAAGCTGTTTTGGTGTCACTGTAACGGGTGCAGGAAGCTACTGAGTTAACCACAGCGGTGGAAAGCAGCACTTTTATAGCTTCGGTGGACTGTGGTATTTACTTAAAAATGAGACCTCTCGTGAAATGTGGAGCACACCTGCATTCGCTGTTATCTATGCACGGAACAGCGCGTGTAGGTGCGCTCCACATCGCACAAAAACAATACTCGGTTCCATCTCGGACAAATCTGACACTAAAGCACCCCAGTTCAACTATTTTCTAAGTATTTTTCGGTCACACACCTGTCTGAGCACACCGCAGCCACCAAACAGCAGAAACTACCACAGCCTGCAGTGTGGGGCATTTAGGGAACATCTGTAAATTGTAGCATCTGTTGATAAGCAGATGTTCAACAAGTGATGTGTTTTTGCCTGTGACAAGGTAGGAGGTGCTACCAGTGAAAAAGTTAGTCTGGAGCCCTGGTTTAACACCTGGTGATTATTCAGGAAGCACACCCAGATTGACTGGTGATAGTCACAACTTAACACAGACACATGCTCTCTGTTTAGTAATAACACACAAAACATATTATTGTCTGACAAAGCAAAACCCACAATATAGAAACACGTTGTGTTGTGTGTTAGTCTGTGCATTCATGGTCAGAGATACAGAGCAGAAGTTGAAGCTTAACTCGAGTTTGTTCACTGAAACACACACAGCAGCCTCCCACCACAACAATACAAAGCATAACATTAGTTTGATAAAATGCATCAGAACAAACTGACGCCACGTTGAATGTTTTCAGTTTGCAAAGTTTATGGATTGCAATATACTGAAGGGGTTCCTGCTAATATTTTCTCATGCTTAATACAGCAACAGTGTCTCTCGTCTCGCACCATAATGTATTAAAACGTACCGTTAGTGAATCGTATTGCAACCCATGTATCTAGATTCGTATCGGATCGCCTCTCAAGGTAGAGATGCACACCCCTAGTCTATATATATGTCAAAACAAAGCTTGACAACAAAAACATGGATTACCACAAAATGAATCACTGATGCACTGAGGATGAAGCCTACCGACGCTGGTGATCCCCTGGTTTTTCCAGAGGTGTCACCACCAGCTTGACATTTGTGGCTGTATAAAATGTCGTATGGGATGAATTGTCAAAACATATGTTGTGATCAGCATATACAATATATGAAAACTTTTGTGATCCCTTGTCATCTATCCCGTCATCTAGCACTGATCAGGCCGAAATCTGAATTTCTCCACAACAACACCTGAAAAATGAGATTTAGTGCTAATTGGCAAATGTTAGAACGGCAGCATGCTACTACACTGAGATCGTGAACATCAGGACGTTGGTGTTATCTTTGTCAGCACACTTACAGAATTACAGAGCCGTTAGTGCGGGTGTTGATATTTCATCTCGTTTTTAATCATAAAAGTAACTGTAAAAGCCTAGTTAGTTAAAAACGTCATTCTTGTTTGTGTTTTATTTTGCAGGTGTCCAAAGATGACCGCAGTGACATAGAAAGCAGCTCAGATGAGGAGAATCATTCCAGCTACAATAAAAGCACCTTAAAACCAAAGGACCGCAACAACAGCAGTAACCTCAATGGAGAAACTCATGACCACTGAGGACCAAAAGGGAAGACCTTCTTCCTGTGAGGCTTTCATTCTGAAAGACTTTAAGTTTTTGTTTTTTTTTCACTCGGGAGACATTTGTGAACTGTTTGGATGGAGAGAGAGGACTTGGAAACAGGAGAGCTCCATGCAGACGTAGCAATGTCCTACTGAGTGAGTCAGGTTTACAGTGTGAAGTTTACACATGCGGTTTGCTTTCAGGAGTAGACAGAGAATGTGTGTGGTCTGTCTGTTCCTCTATGTGTGTGGGTGTTCTTAAAGTTAGCAGCTGAAGCTAATGCATATGCAAATAAATGAATTTTCTTATTAAATATCGGTGGTAAATTTTTTACTGCCTTACAACAAATCACTGCATCTACCCGACTTGATAAGTTTCTTTTTCTCCGGCAATCTTTTAAGCCCAAATGTCAAACTATTTAAAATCTAAAAGGTTTCTCAATAAAATATCATTTCAGTGATGAATATGTAGGATCTTTATTATGTAGCGGATGGTAAACTTGACTGTGGAAGGATCAGAGCTGCAAATGATGATTATGTTCTATATTGCTCAACATGATGATTATTTTCTCCCAAAATCTTTTCATTAATACAACATCACAAAAAGAGCTAAATCCCTATTTCCTAAATTGCAGGGTAGATTGGTCAAATTGCTCATTTGGTTCAGCAAACAGTCATTTGATTTACTCTCACATCAATCAATAAAAGCAACAATTCTAACATTCAAGACGCTGGATGTCCTGAAGGTGCATCGATACCACTTTGGCTTCAACAATCAAACTATCAATATCAAAATAGTCCTGTTACTCAGGAAACAGACAAATTCATCAATACGGTATGTGATGCTGCAGCAGATGGACGGACTGATCGGCCTTCTTCAGTAGCTTATTTTACTGCACTGTTCCATGAGGTCAAAAACTTCTTCAGAGAAGTCATTGTACTTCACGCTGAAGGAGTTGGAGACAAAAGCATAGTTTAGATTATTATTAAAACTGCTTTGTTGTGCTTGAAAATTTCATTTTAAGTACTTTCGGTCAAGACGGTTTGTAATTAAGTGAATCATACTTCATCTCCAGCATGTTGTCGCTGTCCTGCATGACTTCAACGAGAGCTGGGACAGCGGCATCGGTCATTTCATTGTTTCTCAGTTCCAGTTCCTTCAGAGTCTTGCTGGCTCTTATAGCAGCACACAAGTCTTCAACGCAGGCATCCGTCAAGTCAGTCATTTCAACGCTGTGATAAAAGACGTGCAAGCATAAATGTAATGCACTGATTTGAAAAAAAGGCATAAACAGAGTTTTTTTTTTTTTTTTCCCCAACTCACTCCAGTTTCTCCAACAGGCAGTTTGGATGTGCAACAGCGTCCCAAAGATGTTTAACTCCTTCGTCTCCTACTTTATTCAAACCAACAGACAGGGATTTAATCCGAGAAGTTTTCAGCAGGGAGCCCAGTTCCTTGAAGACCGGCAGAGTTAACTCACATCGTGTCAAACTGTAAGGTGGAGCAGAATATAAAACACTGCTGTTAGCTCAATGTAACTAAAGTTTTTCGAAAGGTGGTACCTCATCAGTGAATTTAAAATCCTGTCAATGCATGTGATTACCCGAGGGTTTCTATTGGACAGCCTGGTCGACCCAATCCTTGGCAGAGCAGCAGCGCCCCCTCCTGGCCCAACTCATTCACTGACAGATCCAGCTCTGACAGAGCGAAGTGCTCTGACAGTAAAGCCTCCTTCAAGTGAGTACAGCAAGCACCTGTCAGCTCACAATCGTAGAGGCTAAGATAAAGATGAAGAAAAGCAGAAAAATAAGGTGTCTTCTGATTTTTGTTAAGCGACAGTCAGATCGAGCCTCTTTCGGCAAATAAATCACAACAGTTTTAGCATCTTGAAGCTGACTTACGTGACGCTTTTCAGTTTACAAAGGGAGTGTTGCAAGGCCTTGCACAAAGCCTCCACTCCGTTTTCACCAATCACGTTGTGAGTCAGGTTCAATGTTTTCAACTGCGACTGACCAGAACACAGAGCTGCTGATAAAACCTCCATGGATGGTGCAGTCAAGCCACACTTTTGAATCCTTATAAAAAACAAAATCAGATTAGTTTTTAAAGCAAACAAAATGCAAGAGTTTTAAAATGAAATTGCACTGTTTAGATGCATACTGTAGTGTCTGTAGTTTGCAGTGTGGACTATGCATTGCTTTGCCCAGCATTGCAAAACCTTGATCCATGATCTCATTATGCCTCAAATCTATGTAGCGCAGCTGAGCGGTGTCCGAGGCCAGCACAGAGGCCAGGTCTTCACAGCTTTCCTTTGTCAGTTGGCATACTGGAAGGCTAAAATCAAAACCAAAATATCAACAAAATCTAATCTTTTGTTTTTCTTTCCTTTGAGAAATGTTAAAAAAAAAAAAAAAAAAAAGAAAGAGCGAGAGAGTTATTCTTACTGTAATGTGTGCACCTTGCAGTGTCTGAGTCCAGTACAGAGAAGCCTTAACTTTTCATCACCAAGGTTGCTATAAGAGAGATCCAGCCCTCCGGTGATTCCTTTACTGAGAGCTGAAGCCAAGTGATGGACAGCCCCAGTACTCAGGGAGTTTTGAGTCAACCTGGAGGACACAACAGAGCAATCTCACATACTGATGGCAATATATGACGGTACACTGAACACATAACGATGATGAAATGATACGAATTTTAAATATGCATTTTTCAAAGCTGACTTACGTTATCAGGTGTGAAAGACTCATTGCTGGAGCTACGACTGCTGCCATCTCCTCTGTCAAATGTTTTGTACTGTAAAAATATAATTCGCTCATCTCGCCAATGTATGTAGCAACATAATTCAGAACTACACAGTTCTGGAGGCTCAGCTTGCTGTAGCTGACACCCATTCGTGGTGATGGGGAGATGGTTTCTCTTACCAAACTCTCATTTTGAGCTTGATGAAGCAGATTCAAGAATCTGTCGATTTCCTCTTTATTGTGTCCCTCCAATGCTGCCTTTGAGCTGCTTTTAAACCAGCTTTTGAAATCCTTGATCTGATCAGAGTTGAACTGTCCCAGCAGGGTCTCCAGGGGGTTGCGCTGAATTGTTTCTGACAGCCCTGACAAAAAGAAATCTAGGTACTTTGCATCATCTTTGTGCCTTTCCAGGATCTTCTCCAAACCCTCATATGTGGACCTGTCCAAAAAGACAGACACAGCCAAGATGAACTCCTGCATCAGTTGCGAGTGGAAGGAGAAGACACATGTATCTGACTCCAGGTCACCGTCTACTCGCAAGAAAACACCAGCTGAGGTAAGGAACCGCTGAAACCCAAAGGAATCCATTTGCTCTTTGGTGCAGCTTGAATGTGGTTCAAGGCAGCAATGAGAAGCCATCTTGCCAAGGGCCAACACCAGCTCTCGGTTGCAGGCCTCATTCAGCGACAGAGTGCGAAGCAAGTGAAGCAGGATGTGTACAAACAGCTGAGTTAAAGTTTCAGGAAGCTGTGCTCCAGAATCAATCAAGGACTTGTACATGGAACAAACCGTCCAACAAAACCTCGGAGTTGTACAAAAATTGTAAAAGCCGAGAGTCTTTTCCATGTGTGTTAGTGCTTTGCTGGCAGCAGCAGGGTCAGTAAAGAAGCTGGTAAAATAAGCTTCTCTTTGGGGCTTCAGAAACCCAAACACCTCAACCTTGGTACTGCTGAGAAACCCCAGACATTTCGTTGGCCTGGTTGCAACCATAAATGTTGCTCCTTTCAGCAGTGAACCGTGAAGCAGACTGGCCACCAAACAGGACACTGAGGCTGTCCGGGTCGGGTCGGAGCAGAGGGTATGAACAGAGGGGTCCAGGCTGTATTTGTACTCATTCAGACCATCAAAGACCAATAACACATCCTCAGGCTTCTGCAGAACCAGGGGCACGGACTCAGGAGGGACATGATGCTTTTGGATTAAAGCCTCCAAGGAGAGCGCACCTTCAAGAGAATTTAAGTCCCTGAACCGAAAATGGAAAACATAGGAGAAGTTTTGGAGTTGTTCTCCTTTTGCCCAGTCGATAACAAGCTTTTCTAAAGCAGTTGTTTTACCTGAACCCGCTGGACCTAGAAGTGTCACGGTTTTAATCTCACCAGACAGAGCTGTAAAGATGGCACGATCAAGGGGAAGCAAGTTGTCAAGTGCTTCCTGATCTTCACCAGTGAGTGGGTGTATGTATTTCTTGCTGGTTATAACACTGACAGGCAACTCTCCACCAAGAAGACTCTCCACGCCCCTCGGCTTCAGGATGTGAGTCAGTACAGCTGCTTTGTCCATTGTGTTAACAGCTGTTGATACATAAAATAAAACACAAAGGTAAAAGAATCTACTTCCACCGCGACAAAGCAGACAAAAGCTCATGCATGTCTGGAAATAAATTACAGGGCAATAAACTGCATGTTACAACTTTGAAGACTGTTTACCTATGTCTCTACACAGTGCAGTACAATGCACATTTAGAACATAAAGTAGAAAGTATGGTTACCTTCAACGCAGTTTTGATGGAGAACAAATCAAAGCAAGACAGGGTTTTCAGGAAGTGTCTCAGACTGCAGACGGGTCTCCTGTGTGAGTACAAAGCGTACAACTGGTCTGTACGTGTTGCCAACCTATAAAAACTGCAGGCACTCAAATCAGAAACCAGGAAGGGTATCCTGGAAATTTGTGCCCTGAACGCTGTCTTACAGAGAACAAGGCGTGGTGAAGTGGGGTTTAAAATCTGTTTGAGCAGACCAGTATAGAAAAAAATCTTTAATGTTTTAATAATATTTTTCATTTTAAATGAATGTTTCTATGAGGTTCAAGAATAACAACAGAGGCAGATTATTTTTTTATAACAATTTTGGAGGTGTTGTTGAGGTAGTCTTGCTTTGCCAGACCATTCTTTAGTACATTTCATGAATTTCTGCATATTAGTGATTTTAGCGGATATCAGCGGATCGATACCAGATCTTTATGCTCTAAAATCGATTCTCAAATCAAAATATCGATACTTTAGATACTTCAATTACTTCAGGTAATGTATATCATTACCAGGAGCACACTGGAGAGTCACTCATTTATTGAGATCTTGACTAAATGACAAGCAGTTTGTGGGCACTACTTTTTCTTCCGCCTGGGTAAGTGCGTAATGCGTAATGCGTAAGGCGTTAGCGCCGCGGCATGGTTTGTGATGTTTGTGGAAAAACGGTAATGAGTTGTGGCAACACAACAAACTTTGTGAAACACCTCAAGTTAAACCACAACACAGAATACGAGACATTTATGAGGAGGCAGACAGAAGAAGACAACAGGGTCAGGTGCTGCTGCTCGGGCAGGACAGAGGGAGGACATGTGGAGCTTCAAGCAGCCTTAAGCACTGTTGCTATTGTTCAAGTGAAAAAATGTGATTATGAATTAAGTAACTAAACATATGCTTCAGCAAGTAGCTGCAATGAGTTCAGCTTGGAGTAATAACGTGTATCACTGAGATAATCTCACATTGCCAAAAAAACCCTACATTTATTCAGGTAAGGTTTCCTAGAGAATTGATCATTTAAAGCGGATTACATAGATTAGGTGTCATTAAATTATACAGCGCAATTACGACAACCATGGTCAACTTAGAAAAATATATACTCGAAAAGATGGATTAAAAAAATAACATCTATTAAATATATCTATTATTTACAATCAGTCTAATTTGCTTGAACTGTTGAATGACTATTTTCAAATATACGTACTGACAAACTTGTGTAATTATTGTGGCAGTTATACATGTCCTCTGTTTGTGTTTTCTGTTGTTGGATTAGCTCTGCGATATGGATTCTCAGCTACATACACTTTAGCCACCTTAGCAATATTGGCATTAGCGCCTGTTAGCAACGGTACAACAATAACCCAAATATAGAAAAGCGAACACACAAACTTCACTGGCTGCATCACAACTCACAGGAAGGGCAAGGATTCTTCTCATGCACCTTAAATCTTACATGAAAAACCACAAACAAACATTGATGCGCTTTCCAAAAAGAGGTCCCTCTGGAAACCTTTGCCGCTCACTGTCTTTGGTGGTAGGAAACAAAACTGTGTGTCACACTCAAATATGCGCTGGCAACGGGAGGCAGTTCCACCAAGGTCACTTCATGCACCTTACAAATGACTCTGGGCACTTTCCATGAAGTATTTACAAGAATAAATGCACAAGTAAATAAATGTGCTGAAAAGAGCGTGGCTCCATCACACCATCCCAGCCGCGGGCATGCAGGTGGGAGAGGGGGGGGCGACATGGTTTCGGGCGGACAGCCGCCCAGCTCTCGGCCTTTCCAGGGACGCTGCAGGAGCAGGACGCGGAACATTGTGAGGGACTCCTCACACGCTTGAGTGATTTGAAGTTTAAAAGTCAAGTGAGAGTGAAAAGTGTGATCAGCCCCGAGCGGGATTCGAACTCCGGGTCTCCGACTCCAGGACCATTGCCTGGTGCGGGAAGGGGCAGCTTAGGGTGGTGAGCTAAGCACAAAATTGTTTGTTAAATCAAATTGAGCTTTAAAGCAAGGACAGATGTCCAAGTCCCATTTTTATCATAACATTGTTATAATATAATATAATTAGCATATATTTATATGTTGCACCTTCTATCTGACTAGATTTAAGTGTTCAGTCATTGTGACAGTGATGCTGTATAACCTGTGTAGCTCCTACTGCACACACACACACACACACACACACACACACACACACACACACACACACACACACTAACCACCTATCGTTTAACAATATGAGTATCTAACCAGGCAAAATATCAGACAAAACTAATCAGTGGGATGTATTATCAGTTGGTATACATTAAATGTTTTTGTCTGGTATCACATCACCAACTACTGCTTCAGCGTGTAGCATGTTTTGATGTACTTTGATGCCTTTTCAAAATTATTATCCAAGAAAAAGAACACAAATGTTCATGCTGCTGAGGATGTATTTATTTTCAGCAACTGGTAAATAATGGTACAAACATAAAGAAGGGAAATAAACAACACACAAGTGGCTCATTCATGCAGTTGGCTTATATAGCTGATGACAAAGAGGTTAATGTAAAGGTAGACGAGTGATCCAGCAGTGTTGTTTTTTTTTTTCCATCAGCTGTACAATATGTCATGGGTCTCCACTGTCTTGATGAGAATTGGGCCTGACTTTCGCTGTTTCTGCTCATTAGTAAGTGAGACGGCTGTTGGAAAGAGGAAGATATGAAAATAAAATGAACACAGACAGCACAGGGTGCCACTGTAATGTTTGCGATGGTGGTAATGATGATGTGATTTTTACGTATTAAAAAAAAAGTACTTACTTACTTTTGTTGGGCACTGTTTGGATGTTGAGAATTGACTCCTGTCCAAGTCTGTCAATGAGGAAGCAGGAAATACAAGGTAAGCATTGTTGTAGGGATAAAGTAATATAAATGATTGCTAAAGATGCATAAAGTGTTATGTTGCTGCAACGGGAGCAGCGTAAAATCTGATAAACTGCCTCATTGTCTGGGTTTATGGTAAAACAGAAAATGCGTGGTGGTTAACAAGACCTGCATTTGCCAAAACAGTTCTAACCTTCAAAATGTTTCTTCTTGTAAAACTGTAAGAAAGCCAACTTCTGACAAAGAATAAGTATCACCCTTGTGTCAATTGTCAAAGGTTGATTTTGCTTTTTATTCCCTGTTGAACAGCAGTTATCAGTAGCCATCAAATACTAGCAGGAATTTTCTGCCCTCTGATCTCAGAGCCAAGTAGGAGCTTATAGTGATTTAATTCAGCACAATGAGGTAACTTGTTTGGACAGTACACACAAAAGTGAGATTTGTTTATTTTCTTGCACAGCTTTGAAAACTGAAAAAGAAAAGGTTTGGTCCTTTTGTCTGACTGATGTTGTGATTGCTTCTCCTTGCGCAGCACACCCAAATCTCCAACCAAACTGTCAGTTGGCTGTTTGGTATTGTGGGTAGTGTACATCAGGTTTTCAAATGAAAAGGACTACTGCTGCTGAATCCAGTTGTATCTTTTTTTTTTTTCAATTGCTGGAGTACTCTTTGAATCTCAAATTTAGGAGTATCATGGGAAAAGTTGTAACCAATAGTCAGGGAATCAATAAGAAAACTTGCCACTGTTGAGCTCTATCAGAAGAACTCACTTTTCAAAAGTACAGAAGGGCGCTGGAGCACAATACTTAATTCATAGCCACTGATTGTACAAACAGACTAATGTATCAACACTATTGTGTCTATGATAAATGAGATTTGATGTCCTTGAACTGAGAAGCACTTGTTTCAGCTGCATTTTGCTGGAAGATGTGCTGAGAACTTGGTTTCAACTAGATTGCTCCACAACTCACCTTTGCTCTTCTCCTTCCAGAAGCTTCCTGTAGGTGGAGATCTCTATGTCCAGGGCCAGTTTGACATTCATGAGCTCCTGGTACTCTCTGAGCTGCCGAGCCATGTCCTGCTTGGCCCTCTGCAGGGCCTGTTCCAGCTCCCTGATGCGGGTCTTTGCATCCAGCACAGCCCGCTCCCCACTCTCCTCCACCTCAGCGATGTTCTTGTCAATGCTGGCACGCTAAAAAAGTGAAGGTTTGTTTAGATATGAGTTTGTCAATCAACCCTTTTGAACAAGTTAATTGACTGTCTGTGAATATCATTTTGTTAATGTACCTTGCGGTTACCCAAAAAAACCCGAAATACCTGAGGGGTCAAGATACAAACATACACATACTTCATGCGTGTATTAATTAAACTCATGCTGCCTTCTGGATTAGTAGTTAAAATGCAGATTCAAGATCAAATAGTAAGTTTAGTTACCTTTGACTTTCAACTTGAGACACGATAAACCTTGTACTCACCTGTGCCTTTGCAGCATCAATCTCCTGCTGCAGGCGGGTGATCATTCTTTTGAGCTCAGATATTTCGCTCTTGGTGGTATGCAGCTCATTTCCACACTGGCTGGCCTCAGCAGTCATCTCGTCAAACTGGTGCAGGCAGAGATAAAACAGGGGAACAAAGATCAGGTTAGACAAAGGTGGTAACGCTCGAAAAAAGAAAAAAATCTGGATGTTCTAGTACATTTATGAGCTTTAGCTACCTGTTGACCCTGTCCATATGTCTAGGTTTGATTAGAAACTTGTTTTGCTGCTTGGTTTACTACACAAACTGTACACTGAGATGCAAGGGATCACATTAGACCCCAGGGCGATGCATTTAGCTTCTTCACCTTTTTCTTGTACCAGCTTTCAGCTTCTTCACGGCTGCGGGCAGCAATGTCCTCATACTGAGCCTTGACGTCAGACACTATCTGATCCATGTTCAGGGCTCTGGAATTGTCCATCTGCACCACCACAGAGGTGTCCTTTAGGCTGTCCTTCAGCTCACGCATCTCCTGTTGTAAAACAACACATGCAGCAACAGTAAGTGGACAAAACCCCGAATACAAGACAAGTTCACATACCGAGCACTGCACATATTTTCTTGGATTTAAATGAGGATTTTCAGTGAATGTTTATGTACCGTGTCGTACAGAGCCCCCAGGAAGTTGAATTCATCGCTGAGAGAAGACAACCTGTCATTTAGATCCACCTTTGACAGATATCCTGCATCCACATCCTGGAGGCAGTAAGGAGAAAAAATAAAAAACATTAAACAACATTTCGTCACTGCCTAATCTATTCATTTCATTACAAGTACAGTGATTGAAATAAAACAAGAGTCAGCTCAGTGGGTTGAGAACTTTTTAGGACTAGCTGTTGTTTTTCTTTGCTTTAAAAGTAAAGCCATCGATTGCTGTGATTGCTTACTGTACCTTTTTGAGCACAACAAACTCATTCTCTGCATCATTCCTTTTGTGGATCTCATCCTCATACCTGAAACAGCCCCAATATCAGATTACACATGCAGATATTGTCAGTGTGCACTTAATTAGCATATGTGTAAAACTCCAGCTCACTGATTTCATAGCGGTTGGGTTTCTTTTACAAAAATGTCTTACTTGGTCTTGTAGTCATCCACATGTTTGTGCATGACGCCGTTCTCCATGTCGAGTCTCTGTTTGTCATTGCTGAGAAGCTCCAGCTGCTTTTGCAGGTTGAAGATGTAGGCCTTAAGCATGGGCTCAGTGTCAGAGGCAGCGACAGTCTGTTGCTGCAGCAGCTTCCACTTGGTGTCCAGCATTTTGTTCTGCTGTTCCAGGTATCTTACCTGGGACACAAGGAAGAAGAGAAAAATAGAGACTAACGTCATTCACAGAGATCAGTTCAAATGCCTGTAACACAGCTACAGTCGTCCTCAAATGTATTCATACCCGTCCATTAAAAAAAGGCAAAATTCACAATAGCCAGTCAAATAACTAGAAACTGAAAAAAGTAATAATAAATTAAAAAAATTGTTAAATTATAATTTAGTGAAATAAGACATTGATTTTGAATTGTGGGTGAAAGGAATAATTAAAAGAAGAAAAAAAAAACTGTCCCGGACAAATTAGAGCACTTCACTGATGAGCAGTGGTTCAAAATACCTGTCAACAGGTGCAGAAGTCTGATTGAGAGTTACAGAAACACCTGATTGCCTCAAAGGGTTGGTCAACAAAATATTAGTTCATGGGGCCCATCATGCTATATATATATATATATATATATATATATATATATTTCTGTTGAACCACAATTCAAAAGCAATGTCATGATTTTCATTATTTTTTTATTTATTATTACTTTGGTCAGTTTCAGCTTATTTCAGTGACAGCTGTTTTTTTCCTTCTTTAATGGGAGGGTATGCATAAATCTGAGGACGACTGTAGGAGTGAATTATCTGGATTATTTAGGCTGACAGTTTTACTTTAATCAGGAAGACTTTAGTGAATCTCCTCTTACCTTATCAATGAATGACACAAAGCGGTTGTTGAGAGTCTTGATCTGTTCCTTCTCTTGGGTGCGAACAGCTTGGACAGTGGGGTCGATGTCGATGTTCAGCGGGGTGAGCAGGCTCCTGTTGACGGTTACAGATGTGATGGGGGGTGCATAGTTAGTTGCGGTGCTGATTTTGGGGATGGAGTAGGATCCCATAGACTTGCTGCTGAAGGTCCCAGAGGACATGTACATTCCGGAGCGGCCGCTGCGCTTGCTCCTCAGGCTCATGGTGGTGTTGAGTGGAGATTTCTCTGCTGGTCAGGATGGAGAGTTCAGGTGGTGGTGGTTGTGGAGCTCTGTAGTGTATGTTTTTATCTTTTTTGGCTTCTTTATAAAGCTGGACTGGGTGTGGTATGATAGTGAAGTTATGTGAATGTGGATGAACCAGTCATGCCACTTGTTCTCCCACCTACCCCCATTGCAAAGACGCATAGTTTCTGCTACGCTGGAATCTATTCCTGCTCCACGGCTTTAAGGTGTGATGCTTTTGAGTTATTTTTTATATATTACAAGTCTTTTCTGGAGGTCATCAACAGCTCTTTCCAAAATTCAAGTGAGTTCTACAATTCAAAAGGATGTAACATCTTTTTTGATAATAATCTAGAATGTGTGAAAGAAATGGGAATCCACTGTAGTGCTGCAGGAGGAGTGATGGAAGATTTTAATTAAAACATCAGGCCAAAGGTGATTTTAACTGCAGGATTATGACTACGTCTTTATGCAAATTTAAAAGCTGTATATCTAGATTGCCTTGACAATGTGCCCAAATATTATAAAAACCATGTAACATGTAGAGGTTTTTGGGAGAGTCTTATTATTTATCTATCAGCCGTCTTCTGTTTTCTCCTTCCCAAAATCAGTTTAGATCACAGAGGACAACAGACTGAATGTGGTGTATTTGGTTCAACTTTCTGCTTATGTCATTAACCACCGTACTGCCAGCCAGTTGTAAGCACAGAAACCGGTCCGTCCTCTTGATGCCACACAACCTTTGCTTTCTTGCCAAACGCTCCCGCTCTCTGATTGTCCAATCACTTTCTTCCCTTAAAACAACAACTACAGAGAAATAAGTTTCCCACACCATCAGGTGCAGCTTTATTCGGGAGGTTTGTTATCCGCACAACTTCAACAACATCAAACATCTGTATTAGTTGTTCTCCTGTCAGATATGAGGATTGCTTCGTTCAACGCGCAGAGGTTTGGGGCGAAAAAGGTCTCAGATCCAGATGTCCTGTCAGCTCTGGTTAAGGTAAAACACTTTTGCATTATTGTGGCACAGTAAAGCATGAAGTGGCTGGTTTCAGCAGCTCTCTGTGGTTTATTAGACAGTGAGGATCTGTTACTCTCAGAAAAACCATTACACCTTTAGAAATGAATTAGGAGGGTTTTATTTTGGGGGGCGCATTGTTCCTGGGATGTGATTTTTGGCAAGCAGCCAGGTGCTGTATTAAGTAGGTTTATTCCTTGACAGACATAACTCTGTTTAATCCACTGTCACAAGTTTTGAGGAAAAGTTAAACCTGACTGGCATGAATTACTCAAAAGGTAAAAACTTGCCCTTTCTTTTCTTTAAAGCTTGCTCTACTCTTACTGAAAGCTTTTGACTTTTGTAGATTGTGTCTCGATACGACATAATAGTTATTCTGGAGGTGATGGATGTGAGCGGAGCTTCTGTTCAAGTGTTGTTGACAGAACTCAACAGGTGAGTTTACATTCTTTTACTTAAAAATGAAGCTACAATAGTTTACTGTGCATACTTTTTTACTGTTTGTTGTGTCTCAGGGTCAACACATCTCATCACTATGCTCTGCAGCTCAGCACACGCCTGGGAAGGAACAGATACAAGGAACAATTTCTGTTTCTTTACAGGTACGTTCAAATTATATTACCAAATTTTAATACTGTTGTAATACAACCATCAAACAATTGTATGAAAGCACACTTTTGTCCTTCTGGAAGGGATGATGTGGTCGACCTGATCGACTCTTATCAATATGAAGACAACCAGCAGAACAACATGGATGCTTTTGCGAGAGAGCCATACATTCTCTTCTTCAAACCTCGCAACACAGGTGAGTATGTGCGCAGAGTTATGTATATGAGTGTGTTTGTTGGTTAAAACATTAGTCTGTTACCATGATGACTCTGGTATGTCTGAGTCATGTCTATATGTAGACACCTTTGTTTGTTTTTTTGAGTCTGAGTTGGATCCGATGCTAACAAAAGGTGGCAGGTTTATCAAGTTCGGTCAGTCAAAATGTCCCTGTGAATCCGCACATGTTAAAGTTACGATGACTGTTTTTGTGGCAGTGCTGAAGGATATCGTGCTGATCCCGGTCCACAGCACACCGTGGGACACAGAGAAGGAGCTGGATGAGCTGTACGAGGTCTTTCTGGTAGCCAGACAGAAATGGAAAACTGATGTGAGTTTCATCAGCATAACACACATTAATAAAATATTTACAATCAGACATTTACAATCTACAGCTATTACTTGACTTGTAATATATAATTGAACAGTCTTTTAAATAGCCACTTTTGGTGGCATCCTCTGCATTCTCACATCCCATCTAAAGAATATAAGAAATGCTATTACTCCTGACGTGCTTGTTTTCATCTAGAATATGATGATCCTGGGGGACTTCAAAGCAGATGGTACATATGTCACAAATGAGCAAATGAAGGAGATCCGTATTCGCAGTGACAAGAATTTTCACTGGCTGATTGGTGATGAAGTAGACACCACCGCAAAAACGACAAATGACCACACCTACGACAGGTAGCTACATACTCATTAGCAAAGATTTGTGGCAGGATTGTTTCTCTTAGAAAGAGAATGTACATGCTGTCATATGAATTAATGTACTTCTTCCACAGGATCGTTGTGTATGGAGAAGAGATGCTGAGAGCCATTGTGCCAAACTCAGCCAGGCCATTCAATTTCCACAAGGAGTTTGCTATGACAGAAGAAATGGTGAGCGGTCCCTTTTTAACCCACGTGCTATGCGCTTGTACAGCTGACTGTCCTAGGTTGTGGGAATATTTATCATTCAGTACACGCCCACTCCAACAGGCCCTGAGAGTGAGCGATCACTACCCTGTTGAGGTGGAATTATGCAGCACTACTCCTTTCTGGATGACAAAGAGCCTCAAGAGATGTGCAGTTGCCAACACGCCCCGAGCATCAGTTGACAGAGGTGTCACAGGTAAAGAGCAAAACTGTAATTTGTCTGTCACTGAAAGACATGGCGTGATGTGTTTGACGAGACATGCTTGATATTTAGTTTTTTTGTCATGTACAGTGTCGTGTTGTCTCTGTAAAAAGCAATGCTTGGAATTTGGGAGTGTCTTGGACAGCTCAGTTCAAAGGTTTTGTAAAACCCCTGTTTTAAATACATATTTTAGATATTTTGTGATTATTTAGGGCTCCATTTGTAGTGACAAAACTCAATTTTGGGTTTAAATTATAGGCCATATGACATTCTTTACTTTTCCTGTGTAGAAGTTTTATTTTAAGACCACAATTTGAGGTGGGTCTTGCTCATAAACGTCAGCTAAAATTTATTATTTCCTAGCTTGGACCACACCATCAATGAGATGCGCATGCTTGTTAAACTACCAATGAATGCCCCTAAGAATGGAGAAAAGACTAAGCAATTTGCGAATCTTCTGCAAATTGCTTAGTCTCTGCTGAAGTAACTGACCCATGGTGTTACTGAGGGTCTGCACCACTGCTGCTGTAGGCTGGCAAAGCTGCTCCAATGCTAAAGGGTTGTCCAGAAAATAAGATAGGAGGTCCGACACAATATGAGAAAAATGACAAAGGTGTGAGAGGAAAGTGAGTCGGGTTGCAATGTGACCTGTGATAAATAGAGTATTGAAAGAGGAAACATTTGGAGATCTTCGGATTGTAACTGAATGCCAAGAGTTTGTAAGGGCTTATCGAGTGTCTGACTTGAAACACAAACAATGGTTGTTATCTCGGTTGCTTTTGTTTTGTTTGAGTGAGTAACCCCGGCAGTCTTTGGAGATACAGTAGAGGTTGAATACAGTGACAGTAGGGTTGAATTTAACAGGTGTCACATGGGAATCTGCATTAAATGAAGCTGAAGAACCTAGCAAGACTCATTCCAGCATGCATATCAAATTATTGATGGTTTAATTTCCCAAAGAGCAGGTTTGGTTAAAAAAAGTTTGTGCGAACTGTAAGAAAGCAAAATGCCATACAGAAAGGTTTTGTGGTGAAAAAAATAAAATAAAATAGCATCTGGGTGGAGCGACATCCGTGTAGAGCTTAAACTCACCGAGGCAGGACAGTTGGTCGTGGTAGAGGAAGGAGACAGCAGTCTGGTTGATGAGGGGTGTTGCCAGAGTAGCATGATGTTGTTGAAGATAATTCTGTCTCGAACTGCATTGGTGTAGATGATGCAAGTGCGACCTAGTGTACAATTAGGAACAGGAGACTGTTGATGTGGGCGGTAGAAGTGAGACAAACATTCTGGTATCTATACTGAAACTGGTAGAGAATCTGGCATCCCAGTGCTAGAAAGGTGAGCATTGCTAATGTGAGTAATAGAGGTGCAAGAAACTGGCATCCCAGTGCCGGGGGGGGGGAAAAAGCAGAGGATTGTTGTTGTCGGGGATAGAGGCGAGTGAAACTGGAATCTTGGTGCCAGAATAAGAGCAAAAGATTGTTTAGGTGGATAATACTGGTGAGAGAAACTGGCATCCCGGTGCCAGAAGTAAAAACTGATTTCAGAGTGCATGTTTCCAGTGGACAAAGATGGGCTGGGACTGGAGAAGCTTTAGCAGATGATTTGTTTGATGGAGGAACTGCTAAAACCAGAGAAAACGGTGGTGAGATGAGCTACCAACCCTGTACCAGTGGGGGAAGGGAGGGAGGAAGGTTCCTGAAAGAGGGGATGGAGAAGAGGACTGGTAACCTGGTGCCAAAAGAGGGGTTGAGAAGTTAAGACGATGAAAAGGTGAATTAGCATCCCAGTGCTAGAGATGGTGTTTGCTGTGGTGGAGCTGGGAATAGGTCGATAGAGGAAATGGGGGATAGAACAGAGCAGACCTGACAGCTTGGGCAGAGCTACAGAGAGCTGAGGCGTCTGCCGGAGAGAAGATTGTTCTTATTTATCATCTGCTAATAACTGGGAAATTTTTAGAAGTTGAAATAGTTTAAGTATGCTGTTGGTGCAGTGGTAGGTGACCCCCTTAAAAGCTCTCAGAATGCCCTCAGCGGTCCAGCAGAGATTTAATGTAGAAGGAACATGCAAACTCCACACAGAAAAACTGATCAAGTTCAAACCCAGAATCTTCTTACCATGAGGTGCTTACGACTGCATCACTGTGCTGCCCCCTTAAGGAAGAGTTACTTATAATAATACATACACCCAAACTGACATTTATACACTTAAAAGATCAGTTTTAATTCAAGATAATGTGAGCAAAAGCTGAAAGATTTTCAATAGAGACAGAATATATGACAAAATTATGGCAAATTAACTGAAACAAGAATAATTTAGTCTGATAACAGATGCAGAATGTTAGCCTCCATTAACTCAAACACATTTTGTGAACACAAACTCAGCCAAATAGGCGATCAGTCTACTGACAAAAAAGTTCCTTTGCTGTACTTGAGCAAGAGTACATTTTTAAAATGATACGATGTGTATGAAAATTTACAACCAAAACAGTTAGATATTTATACATGGTATGATTGATGCTTTTTCTACCAATTATAAGTCAGAATGTTTTTCCCCTTAAGTTGAATTAAAAATCTCCATATTTGGATGGAGAATTCTTTCTTGTTACAGCTATTATGTATTAACTGTATCTGATACATTTTTGTGTCTTTCTATACTCACAGACAACTTGCAGGATGATGTCTTGAACCTGCAGAAAGAAAACCTCCTGCTGGAGCGAGAAAAACTTAAACTTCAGATCAGCTTATTAAAACAACGGCTTGCTACACTCCAGTGAAATGAAGGAATGACAAAAAGATCCCAAGCGCTGCTGGTCCTTCTAAGCTGTTTTCCCATCTCATCATTTCTGTAATTTAAAATTCGCTTTGGAAAATAAATAATAATTTGATATACATGTTTATCCTGGCTGTCATTTAATGGATAAAAGCAAGTAACTTGCGCTGATATGAAACAGTACTGTGACTTTGTATGGTGTGTAAGTGTGTGTCTTGCCCTAGTAAGAAACAGACACTTGGGCAAGCTTTGTCTTGTAGTTCTGTGGTCGAATGTTGGAATTCAACAGCTTCTCAAAACAAGAGCATAATCCTCAGACACTGGGGCTCGTGGTCAATCCTGTTTTAACACAGTTAATATTGCTGTGCCACATGTGTAAATGCATACTGCATTATTAATTTAAAGGTCCCTGATTAAGAAAATCTATTTTTATTGTGTTTTGTGGCTGTTAGAAACTTGGAGGTGTAAAGGAAACACTGTCAAGAACATTAAAAGTGATAGAAAATCTTTGTGTCACACACTCATCTACATCTGTGTGAGCTACCATGGGGGTCAACTGTTTAGCTCTGCACTGTCAATCAGAAACAGAGAGAGTCTATAAACTGCAGCAGTTTAGCTGCATTTAGAGCTATATACACTGAAACAGCCTATTTAGAACATGGCTAAAGTCAAGGGTTATACAGTCATGATAAAAGGAATTGTCTTTATTTTGAGCCAAAAAGGTGAAAGACACACTCTGGAGACGTGTGAGATCTTCATAAATTTTCCGAAAGAGTAGACAACATTTAATGTTTCTGCAAAAGCCTGCATCCCATTCAGTGATACCTGGAAAGCATCACTACAGGTTTGGACATTGCTCAAATGTAACACACTTCTAATCTGCCTGAGTCGCACTGTGTTTTGACTGTCAAATTTACATCGATATGTTGTGCAGTAGACACCCATGGGTGGCGTCACTCCACTTTGACACAAGCCACGACTTGATCAAGCCCTGCGTTACCTGGGTGAGGGTGTGTGACACTGTATGACCCGAAACACAGAATGAAACATAACTGATGGTGTGTCACATGTTGAAAGGAGTGTAACAGGTATCCCACAATGGTAAGGAGAAGTAAAAGCAGGAAAATAGAGACTGTTGCTCTCACTGTAAGAAGTAGTTTAACTGTCTGCAATAACACATCTGTGTATTTCTCTTGTAATGTGCGACAACATATCCGTCTCCTCCCTCACACGCTTCACATTAAATTCCTCTCTGTTACTTTAAGTGTTTGGGGACCAGAAATATTCGGGGTTGTGCTGCAAATATTTGGGACAAGGTGTCAGTTACTTGTGACCCCCCAGGACCTACAGGAGGAATCCAAAGCTTTGGCAATGTGTTTACTGTTGTTTCATGGGTGCAACTAAGTCGAACTGGGGGAGGATCTTACACTCTAATGCTTTCCTTAATAATTGGAAATAATTATAAAATTATTCGAAATACTGACAGACAGATCTGTATACGCAGTTCACAAAAGTAGGACACATTTAACGTATTTTCTACTGTGTATTTAAAGTGAGAGAGTTTTCGCAGTATTAGGAACTAGTACAAAACAGAAGCAAAACTGGATTAAAAAGTTGGAAGAAATGCACTTAAATAATCGCAAAACTCGCTATTTTTTCCGGTATTATTGCAGTGAACTTATCAAAACAAACAAGACGATAGAGCACGCTGACGTATGGTGCATTCACGTACCACACGTCAGCTCGGATATTCGACAGTTACAGCCGCTAACATGGACTCACTCAAATAACGCAGTAGTATGTGTCTGCAAGATTGTCATCAAACTGAGTCTGTAGTGAATATATATTTTTTTGCTTGATGGTCATTTTTTTGTAATTTTAAAAATGGGTGTATTTGCGTTGCAAGACTATAATGTACATCCGCCGTCTCTCAATTCACCGCCGTTCCGGACATCAAGTGAAGTGGACGCTATGTGGTCACATGACCGCTGGACCTGTTCTACCAAAACACCGAGGACCTCCGCAGCTTGTCAACAAACGTTCAAGAAGGTGTGTCAGCCTGCCAACTTTCTCCGCGTCCTACCGAGTAAACTCCGAAGCTCCACCAAACCATCGCTCTCCTGTCCGGTAGACAGGCCGTCTCAATGCATTACAGAGGACCGAAAACACCGCAGCGATCATGGATGCGTACGATTTGTTTAGTAGTTGCAGAAAGGGCGACATTTGTAGAGTCAGGTAACCAGCGGCTCTGTTGTTGACGCTATTTTTGCCTCTATGCTAAAAGCTAACCTATATCACTGTACGTGTTCTACATTAACCTTGTTAGCTAGCAGAGTGTTAGTCTTTATTTGTTTGGCCTTGTCTGAACTACAGACTGGCGGCTACCACCAAAGCTAACCGCATCGCTAATAAACAGGAGGGCAGTGTTGCTAACATTAGCTTTGATGACCCAGCTTGTAACTTTAGCTAACGTTTGTAGGTCAGCTCCTCGGTTTCCAGATGTAACCGGGGTACCAGCTTCTAGTGTCAGATGCTCAACAGGGTGGTATGTGAAGAATTTAGTGCTGCACAGTTTAGACTTCCTCTGCTTTGGGACAGACGTGCTAATTAGACTGGACAGGACAAGACCTGCCAGTTAAAAACACTTGCATGCATTGTCAAAAGAGGATGCTTGTATACGCATGCATGTGAATAATCTGCATGTTCTCAGTGGATTCAGACATTTATACTTTCACTCCACCCTTTGAATCCACTAAAAACATTTGATTCAGCATCTCAGTTTACGACTTGTCGTGACTATGTTTTTTGCAGCACGTCACTCTAACCACTTTTTTTTTCTTAGATACCTTGTTGAACAAAGAGATGTGGATCTCAATGTAAGAGATAAGTGGGACAGCACCCCCTTGTAAGTACAATGTAATCTACTTCTTTGGCTTGTCAGAATCAGCTTTATTGGACAATCAGGCCTACACATACAGGGAATTTTACTCTACCTTTGACTTTGCTCTCAAAAATGCTTGCACAGCAAACACACACAAACAGGTTTCTGAAAGAAATACTTGTGTGACCACTATTGATATGTGTGAAAAGGCATGTTGGAAGTGAACCAAAAGTGTAGTGCAAATTGTGCAGATTCTGATGGTAAGACTAAATACAGTTATTGACAATAAATAGAGAGGTATTGACACTTTATATGCATGAGATTGATGGATGATAGTGCAACAAAGTAGAGAGCATTGTTGCTGGAATTAAATAATGGCAGGTATGTAATGTACGAGGTGCGTCAGAAAAATTCCAGGACTGGTGTCACAAAAGATATATTTCAAATCCATGCTACAAACTACAAGTTTTCCCCTTACAAAGTAATCCCCCTGGAGTCTAACACACTTTCCCAGCCTTCTCTGCCACGCTGCCATGCACTCCTGGAAGGATCCTCCGCAGCTCCATCGTCACAGCCATCTTGATGTCGTCCACATCTTCATAACGGATCCCCTTGATGACCCCCTTGAGTTTAGAGAAGAAGAAAAAAATCACACAGAGCCAGGTGGGGTGAGTAGGGAAGTTGCTCCAGCACAATGATGTTCTTCTCAGCCAGGAACTGTCGGATGCTCAGGGCATTGTGAGCAGGTGCGTTGTCATGGTGAAGCAGCCACGACTTGTCCTGCCACAACTCTCGCCTCTTCTCGTGCACTGAATGAAGTAGGATCTCTTTGTAGACGTGCTGGTTGATCGTCTGAAGGGGCAAACTTGTAGTTTGTAGTTTGGGTTTGAAATATATATCTTTTGTGACACCAGTCCTGGAACTTTTCTGACACACCTTGTACAGGGATTCAACAAGAGTAGTTCCTGTCATTTTGTTCGTCAGAGTCAATAGGAAGAAATTGTCTTGTGTGTGTGGTTGTTTTGGCATTCAGAACCACAACCGGTCATTATCGTGGCCACTTTAAATATTAACACCTTGCCCTTCAGGTATTATGCCTGTCTCTGTGGTCATGAGGAGCTGGTCCAGTACCTGTTGGCGAGTGGTAAGACTGAAATTTCACAGGTTTAAGTGATGCAATCATAATAATAAACCCAATGCAACATTGTACTGCAATGTTGTGTTGAGCTTTACAAATGCGCCAAAATGTCCTGCATTGCTTTCAGGTGCCAAGTGTGAAGCCAACACGTTTGATGGCGAGAGATGCATGTACGGCTCCCTAAGTGACTCCGTTCGACGCCTGCTCAAAGACTACAAGTGTGTCAGTGTCCGCGCCATGCAGCGGGACGATTTCAACTACTTTCTGCACATGTAAGGCTCAGCTGTTTCAGGCATATACATTACAAACAAGCGGAAAAATGAGAGGAGTCAACCTCTGCAGTTTGTAAATGCACCTGCTGGATGGTAATAAACGTTTATTCGATGCATACGTTTTCTGGGTTTTAGGTTGTTAGAGCAGGGTCAGCACAGTGACGTCAAGTTCTTGGTTCATGGACAAACGTTTCCGGCCCACCGATGTGTCCTCAGCGCACGCTCGGAGTACTTCACAGAAATGTTTGAGACCAAATGGAAAGGAAAGAACCTCATCACCCTCAAACATCCTTTGGTAAATACATACGTTTACTGGTTAATTAAATATGAGCAGCCTGCTTTGTCACATTGTCATGTCTAATCTACAGTATTCACCAGTTATATTGGATATATCTGTATCTATCAGATCAACCCTGCAGCCTTTGGAGCCATCCTGCAGTATTTCTATACAGGTGGGTCTGTATTAGAGCAGCAAGTATTCAGGCTTCGACAGTGGCCACAGTTGTTTGACAGTTCATACTGTTTTTTTAATTGTTGGAGTAGTGGTGGTCTGAAGGTTTGACAAGCGAATGTGTGACCTGATAGTAGCTTCTTCAACTGCTGCACGAGAAATACTCAGTGGCCTTCAGGTCAGACTGTAGTTGTTAAAGTGTCAATGTGTGTAACTGTGTGACCGGGATGTTACTTCTTCTTGAAAGTACACCAAATAAATAAGGGTAGAAAAATGTGCCAAAAATACAGATTTATTATATAAATTAGTTAAAAATGAAGAAATATATTCATGTGTCTTTTTCTGAAAAAATAACAGGTATATGCCACTGCATTTTAAAACACAAAAACATGTGGTTTTTTATCACTATTTAAAACCAGCAGCTGTAGTTGGCTTTAGGCTACAACTGATTGTGCTCACTGGGTTTAAGGTACCCTCACAGTTTGTGACTGGTACAGTGCTGTGGAGGTGGTTGCGCTATTTTATCATCATCCTAAATAACTAATCACCAAGAAATATTTATTACAATATAAACAAGCTCAAGCTTGAATGAAAATTGAAATATTATTATAATTCAAATATTATCCAAGTGTAGAAGCTCAGTCCTTAAAAAGTTGTGTTGTCTGGATTTTCACACTAAGCTCTCTGCATTAGTTCAACAAAAAAAAAAAGGCTGTTTGTTACCAAGCTGTGTCATCTTTACTGTAAACTTTGCTCAGACTCCCTGTGTCTAAAGACAATCTCCTTTATTAATGCTGCACATGTGGAGTTAAAAATGACTTAACGAAGCCTTATGTATTTTCCACACGCTTATGTTTGTTGACTGCAGAGAGCGAATGAGGCGTACAGCGCTGTAACTCTTTGCTCTCAAAAATATGGGATTCTACAGAAAAACAGACTTTAGCAACCTGCAATTATGCAAATCTAGTCTTAGTTAAAGGCATAAAACACACAAAAAATAAGTTCTTGCAATTCCTAATGCGTGAAGGAGTCCTCTTAACAAATGTTTTATGAAGAAAGTAATAATCATCAATAACACCCAGCTTGCTTTAAAGAGAAAAAGTGAATATTTAAAAGAAAACTTCCTTTTATTAGGGAATACTAGCGAGCCAGTTAAGCAAGCGAACAGTTTTTTTTTTACAATGTGATTGAAGCAGAAGAAAAAAGGTAACTGAAAGATATGCAGTAATGTTAAATATTTCTGTAACATGCAAACAGCTGTGCTCATGCTAGTGTAGTCCTGTGTATGAAAATACCAATAACTGAAAAGGTGTGAATGTAAGTCCAACTCTTGACATCCATTTTGTTCCAGGACGTATGGATATTGATATAAGTCTCGTGGAGGACAGCAGGAGACTTGCTAAACAGTGCAAAATGGCAGATCTCATAGAGGAACTGGAGAACAAATGCAAGCAGGTGTATGAATTTGGTAAGACAGTTTTCTTTTTTTTTACATTTCCACCAGCAATACATGTACTGTATGTGCATTTCTATCGATATAAACAGTTTTTCCAATCGTGTTACACATTTTAAGCTGTAGCCCTTTTTTCTTGAGCTTGGGATTTTTTTCCCACATGAATGGTCCGTCTTGTGCCTTTTTTTTTTTTTTTAACTTTCTCTCCTTATATTGAAGTATCCAACAAGCCGGGAATCTGTGTGAAAGTTCTCAGCCTGGAGCCTCACAGCTGTCAACTTCAGGAGGAGATGGCTCAGTTAGCAGACTGTGCGCTGCCCACTGAACTAAGAGTGAGGACAGGATAGATCTAAAAATAAGATTTTTTTCACTTTATCGTAGCTGCTGTTATATGCTGGTTGTGCTGATTTTCCGCAGGTTGGATTTGGTGAACTCCCCTTTAACAGAGTCGACCGCTTTCCAACTTATCCTGACATCTGCTTCAGAGTAAATGGTTTCAGTTTTCTGTGTCATAAGGTACGAACTACAACGCTCACAAAAATTCCTCCACACTCTGCCCAGATCCTGAAAGTAAAATTCATGTTACATGGTAAATTGTGTGTGTGTGTGTGTGTGTGTGTCTCCAGGCATTTTTCTGTGGACGTAGTGATTATTTTAAAGCCTTACTGCAGGATCACTTCAGTGAAGGAGAGCAGCTGCAGTCCCAACCCAACACCCCAGTGATTACTTTACACAACATCTCCCATGAAATATTCATCCACGTCATGTATTACATCTACACTGATGACACAGAGGTTTGTGCACAATGTGTGTCCAAAGTGATTCTAAACTTGTCAATCTACAGCCCTGCGATGCTTCTTGAATGTTTATCATCATCACTTGATACCTGACTGGTTCCTCTCCACGTCCAGTTAACGTCGGAGAACGTGTTGGATGTGCTCTGCATGGCTGACATGTATCTACTGCCGGGGCTGAAGCGTCTGTGTGGGAAGACGCTCGCTAAGACTATATGTGAGGACAACGTTCTGTACATGTGGAAGACGGCGAAGCTTTTCCGTCTGTCTCGGCTAGAAGATCACTGTGCAGAGTTCATGGCCAAGATCATTGAGCGGGTGGGTGTCTGTAGGTCTGTCTCGTTACTAGTGTGAGCTTAAATATGACTGGATAGCAGGGATATCGCATCTGGTGGTTCTTTACTGTGTATATATACAGTTGCTGATGTTTAGAACGTGAGTACAGTCAGTTAGATGAGAGAATTGATACAACTCTCATCAATTGGCAGTAAGTGATTCAAATCCAAATACACCTTTTGTCAAATTCAGCATTCTTCGAGGTGTACCTCTGTGTGTGCAGTATATTAAAAAAAAAAAGATTTTCTTACGCAGCCCTGGCTGATCCACCTAACACTATTCCAGTTTGCTGTGATTGTGAAAGGGGCAGTGGACATGAGAGGGGCTAAAAATCAAGCACATGCTAACCATCTAAACATGCTAAATCAGTAAATATCAACAATATCACACTCTACCCTTCAGCATTAAGCTGGAGCCAAGAGGTGATTAGCTTAGCTTAGCTTAGCATAGCATAGCATAAAAACTGGGAACAAGACAGAAGTTACTGCATGTTTCAGGATCCTGCTCCTTAGAAAAATACTATTTGTTGTTCTTGCATTTGTATTTTGTACAAGCTGACAGACATGAGAGGATCATCGATATAGAATAAGCGTCTTTCTAAAATTCCCAACACTGTGTTTTTGAAAGTATTTAATTTCTAAAAAAAAAAAAAAAAAGCCTTACAAACTGTGCTTTCATTGTTGCTGTGCAAAATGTTTATGCCAACAGTTTCAAGTTATGTGTAACGTGTATTATATCTGACTTACAAAATACAGCATGAAGAGCATGTCAAGATATAAAAGAGGAAACTAAGATCCTGTCTATCAGAACTAACACAGTTTTATAAAAAGGAATACAATAAAGAAAGTAACTGTAGCTGAAATTAAACAGAACTTCTAATAAACGCTTGTTGGTACCTGATGTTGATGGTACTTGACAAGCTCTTTATCTGTCATCGCCCACCTCTCAGGCCATTTTGCAATTTTTCTGCTGGTGTGTTTGGGAGCTTCAAAAATAAGATCCCATTTTTTTCACAGTAAAACTACTGTGAGCCCAGGTCTGCTCAAATGTTTTTTGACAGCCACGCTTATTCCCCTTTAGGATAGGGCAGATCGATTTGGGTAAAAATATCTACTAATTATTTGCTGTATAGTTATTTTTATGCTTCACTTTAATATTTATTGTACATCAGATTTATAGTATGTGATGGACCATTACCCAATGAGAAACCAATGAAATATTAACACCTTGGTTAATGCAAGGATGAGACTCTAAAGATATAATTAGCTTCAAACATACATGTATTTATTACTTTTTAATGCTTATTGCTATTAATATTACATTATTAAATGGCATAGACGATATAACAATTGTCACGCAAGCTGTCACCTGTGTTAAGTTAAATAAAAAGAGCAACAATATATTTCCAGTAAGAAGATAATGGAACATCTCTGTATATAATCGCAGACAATAAAACGGGTAATTTATGGCTCAAGAGCAGCATTTAACTTACACAAAATAATACAGATTTCATGAAAACAGCAACAACCTGAGTCCTACACATTGCCTAACTTGCATGCGATTTGCTAATTGCAGTGTTTCAAATTCAGATTTTCATTTGAAATGAGTGAATGAATTAACAACTGTGTACCCGTTGCACCCGTCTGTCACAGCTGGTGGACCAGGCCGAGTTTGCAGAGATCATAAAAGAAGACGCTGCATCGTTAGAGGAGCGACACGAGACGGACTCCGTCCCCCTCGTAGACGACATCCGCTACCACATCGCCAGCAACGTGCAGACGTACAGCGCCATCGAGGAGGCCAATCAGAAGCTGGACGCCTTGGAGGAGCTGCTGTCCAGCATCAATATTGACTGCTGAGGGGTCAGTAGGTTGTGGTTTGTGGTTTTTACGGTAAATACTTTGAGAGGTGAAAAAAAACTGCAAGCGGTGAAAAGAAAAACATATTTGAGTGTATGTTTGTTTCTTTTATTTTATTTACAGTATATCGAATAGAATATATATTTGAAAGCAGCTGGTTGTGACGTTACAGAAGCATACTGGGGTACAGCTGTCCATGTTGGCCATTGAAAATTTCCTTGAGAAAAACCATGTAAATCTGTTTCTAGGTTCTGCAAGAGGGGTTTGAAGAAATTGTGTATTATGTATTCACAACAGAATATCTTTGCATTGCACATGCATGAATTTATTTTAGGCATTAGTTGTGGATGCTGACATTTAGGCTAGCTGAATTTTTCGCTCTTTGAAAATGTAGTTTTGCCCAAACAAAATTCCTGTTTTACATTGAACCTTGTGAAAGTTTAATTTTCAGAGTTAATTTATCCAGAAAATAGTTCTTTGACCTCCTAATTTGAGGTTGCTTAGAACATAGTTTTATCATGTATGTCATGTGCAGAAGCATTTAAGATTTTGTTGACTTTCTCTGCAGCTTTTATTTTGTCTTTTATTTGATTGCTCGCTGTTGGAACAGTGACATGCCTGCAGCGTGAATCCTTACACTGAACCCCTTCTGACATTATCATGCACTTTATTTAAATCTAAGATTATGAATCTCTTTTTCCAACAAAATGCTCTTCCCTAGTGTGTGTACCAGACAATAAAGTTGTCAGCGATGTCACCCATCTCTCAGCCTCACTCTGCTGTAATGAACAATGGATAAATAACTGCACTTCAATTTACAAATTAAACCTGGTATTGCAAACAGCAGTTCTGTTTCATTCAACATTGTGTGAGTTTTGAAATTCCTTTTGCTCTGCTGGACTGGAAACACTTAAACTTTATCATTTAGAACTAAACAAGCATTTAATATGAACTGTTATGTAATTGTAAGCCAAAGTAAGGGCATTTTGAACTGTAGGTGTTTATCAACAACGATAACATCTCCCATAAAAATATATTAAAATTAATTTATTTCAACCAGTATTTCAATATTTAAATAAGTTGTTAGTTTTACAATATTGTCATTCATGTTTTTAATAACCAATCTCCACTTCTGGGTAGGAGAAGGAGTTATAGTTGTTGATGTGTAATTTATTTAATATACATTCCAGTGTGTAATAAACTATTTGTTATGGAGTTAATACAGCTTATAAATATATTTAAAGTTGCTGCTAACGTTAGCATGCTAACATGCTAAACCCCTTCTTAACATTAGCATGTTAGCATACTCACTGTAGCATTTAGCTCAAAGCACTGCTGTACACAGATGGCCTCACAAAGCTGTTAACATGACTATAATCTATTTCTTTCTTTTCTTTTAATGATATAATATATTTTACAAAATTATCTGATCTAATATATCAGTAAGCATTTATTGGTGAGAGTTTATTAAAAAAAAACAAAAAAAAAACGTATTTGAATCAGAGAAAAAGTTCACAGAGGCACCTAAAGATGGCGCCATTTCTCAGTTTATCACCAAACTCGGTGGCTGTGAGTTTTCTTTCACTGGAAAATGACTGTTTTTCTGACCTTTTCTATTGTGAGAAACAAAAAATTCCTACAGCCAGATCTCTGAACTCCTGGGAACATTTTTCTGAATGGAGCCATTTGACATAAATTCATTTGTCAAATCACTCGTTTGTCACAAGTTCACAGCAGTGCAAAGAAGGACAGTAGGGATGTGAGGCACAGTAGGCTGCATGTTAGCTGTGATTTAGATCTATGTACATGTCCTGCAGTGTGCTTGCTCTGTAGTTTATCACTGGCGTCCCTGTGGACTCCATTGCTCTCATTTCAAAGAGTTTTGGGGGTTAAGGCCGAGCTTAGCCTTAATGGAGCCCTGAGCTCAAATCCCAGCAGGGAGGCCACTGTGGAGCAGAGCTGCTGTTAGGACGCATCACAGTGCAGTTCAACCCAAACACTAAAGGCCATCCTTTAGAAAAGACAAGTCTTGGCTTTATGCCCAGCATCTTGAATACTTACATGCTGAAAACAACAAGAATAGCCAATATAGGTTAGTTATTACCCCCATCAAGCTTCCCATACAAATGTTTTTGGGATTGTTGCTAAGCAGTTCGGTGTGGTTTTATTCTTGGGTGAGAAAGTCCAGTTTATTACATCCTCCCTCAAAGACTTGGATTTTTTTTTAGCATACAGGAAGAACTTCCACAAATCATCCTCGACACTAAAACCACTGACAGGTGAAGTGTGTGACATTGATCATCCCGTTACAATTCAATGTGCTGCTGGGAAACCTTGGGTCCTGACATTCATGTGGATGTTGCTTTGACATCTACCACCCACCTAAGCATTATTGCGGATCAAGCACACCCCACCATGGCAACGGCATCACCCGTTGTGAACAGCCGCCCCTGGCAGGACAGTGCATCCTGCTGCACCAAAAACACTGCTCGGGAACAACTCAAGGAACTTTACCAAGAGCCCAAGGCACTGAACTGGCCTTCAAACTCTCAAGATCCCAATTTGACTGAGCATCTGGATGATGCCTGCACAGAGGCCCTACCCTGCAGCCCACAGGACCCAAAGGACCCCCACAGGTCCTGTTTCCATGGTCTACTGGGTCACAGCTGCTATGGTGGCACGAGGTGGAGCTGCACAATAGGCTATTAGGCAAGTGGTTTTAATGTTGTTGCTCCTGATTGGTATTTATTTTTCAGCATTTTATTTATTTTCCGGGCTGCAGGGTGGCGCAGTTAGTAGCACTGTTGCCTCGCAGCAAGAAGGTCGCTGGTTCGCGTCCCGGTGGGGGCACCGCAATCTTTCAGCGTGGAGTTTGCATGTTCTCCCCGTGCAGCGTGGGTTCTCTCCGGGTTCTCTGGCTTCCTCCCACACGGTCCAAAAACATGTTGAAGTTAACTGGTGATTCATAGGTGTGAATGTGAGTGTGCTTGGTTGTCTGTCTCTAAGTGTAGCCCTGTGATAGACTGGTGACCTGTCCAGGGTGTCCCCTGCCTTCACCCTCAGTCAGCGTATAGACTCCAGCCTTCCCGCGACCCTAGTGAGGATTAAGTGGTGTATAGATAATGGATGGGTGGATATTTACTTTGCCTGGAGAATGTGTTTTGCCCCTTTAGTTCCCTTTTAACATGAGCTATAGATCTGGTTCACATATGTCAAACTCAAGGCCCGCGGGCCAAATCCGGCCCGTCACGTCATTTCATGTGGCCTGCGAGAGATGTGTGTTTCCTAATCTGATAAATAATAGGATTTACCTGATATAAAATAACGTAATATAATGTTATTTATGTTATAATAACATGGCAATGTGCCTACACAGGGCTCCAGACTGCGACCAAAATGTTTTCATATGTGACCGTTCATGAGCGTGTGCCAGCTGAAGTTTCACGTGGCCGCATTGTACGAGTGAATGATGATCATCAGGTAGCTATGGCTCCAGTTATTATGGTTGGAAATAGTCATATTTCTTCCACATGGACTGAGTCTCTCTCTGCCTGACGGTAAAACAGTAACTTTCAATGTTACTGTGTTCCAGTGGTCTGGACATTTAAAATGTGCTCAGCTCGTAGAAAAGTCTGTTCATAAAAACCTCTGCTAAAAACACTGCAAATAGAAAACTGTTCAACTTCTGCAAATTTGTGTAGAAAACATTTTCCACTGTTTTCCAACTAATGTTTGGTCGCTCACCTGTCAGAGGAGCTGCACTGCAGACACCTGGTAGCATCTACCAGAGCAGCATGTGAGGCATTTAGGGAACATTGGTAAAATGTAGCATCAACTCATACACATGTTCAGCAAGCATTTAGCCTGTGTCCAGCTAATGTATGATATCACAAGAGGACTGGTGACAAAATACATATATTTTCAGGTTAAAACATTTTACAAATATCAAGTCTTGTATCACTGAAAATCACTGCAACATAACTAAGTTATACAAAAGCAGCTATTCATCAGCTGCATGGTGCATTAATAGCTGTGGCAGTGCTGAACCAAAACAAGGGGGTGGGCGACCAAATCATTCGCTGGTATATCCAACAAAGAAAGTTTGTAGCACCAGTGCTACCATTGGAAAAGTTAGTGTGGAACCCTGCTGCATGTGTTTTACTTTAAGATAACGGCATGCACAGTAGTTGTACATGTAATAAATAACAATCAAATGCAGAGACAATTATTTAACAACATGTAAAGGAGTTGTTACATTTATACAGTCTTATAATCACCGGCCCTTTGAGGGTACACATGATGCTTATGTGGCCCAGGATGAAAATGAGTTTGGCACCCCTGGTCTAGTTGAATGCCACATATCCCAAAGGATGAAGCTCAGTCTATTTAAAATATGTGGCTCTTATTGAATTATTTCAGCAGCCTTTCTATATGGATTTCTGTTTGATTTGGAGACATATCTACAGAGGATGAACTCTTGCTACTTTTTCACTCCTCCAGCAGCATGATTTGTGATGTATGTACAGAGAATGAATCCTAATGACTTTGCTGATCTCTTGTTTTCTTCCTGAAATTAGATAAATTGTTAAGAAACTCGGCACAAACTTTGGTGACCCGTGAACCTTTTCTTCCAGCACCGTTATCAGTTTAAATTCAACTGTGTCTGCTACCCTCAAGACTTACACCACTCCAATTATCCTCAGCTAGCTCGCGTTTAGTGCTAATTAGTAAATGTTAACATGCTAATATGCTTAACTTGCACAGAGCTCAGAGCGTGACTGTGTCAACGTACAGGCGTCACAGGGTCACCGGGATGTCTCTGTCCTGTTTTCTTCACCTTGATTGCACAACACACGTTAACATGACTCACATCCAAGTGTCAGGGTCAGCACAGCAGCAAAAACATTCCTTGTAGCCTGTCAAGAAATTAGTCAGATTCTCCCTTTGCCCTTGCGATGGCATCCTCTTGAATAGTTGTGAGTAAAGGTTTAAGGTCTAATGTTACTGTCAGTGCTGAGCTGTTGTTCTCAGCTTGCATGACTCAGTTTATCTGATTTAGAAGAATAATGATGGCGTGAAATATGCACATCATATTATCAGCAAATGATCAAATGTTAATGTGGCCTTTGGCTGTTTACCTTTTGCATTCTTTGATATGGCACACACACCAAATGCATTTAACTGCAGCTCAAACCATAATTTCCTTTTCAAACCAGCTGCAATGCACTGGAATGCTTGGAAATTCAAATTCACGCTCACGCAGAAACAACTAATTTAAACTATCATTTTTTACATTTTTTTATCTGTTCAAGTCATGACTCATGTTTCTGTCATGTGTCGAGTACAGTCCTCAAAAGAAAAAGAACATGAAGAACTCAGCGAGGGGTAAAGTTTCCTGGCTTTGAGTCACGGCACTGCGTGACTCACTGAGACTTCACTGCGACATCTGCAGCAATCTGCAAGGGTGGAAATCTACAAGGCAAATGGAGAAACCGCAACATTTTCTGCTTATTCACTTCAACTCCTAGCAATAAAAGACCACGCGACACTGATAATATAGATTACTAGAGGCAGGCTTGAGTTCAGTTTTGGTTTCGAGCGGTTCACGTTCGCTTGACACACAAAATCTCTGCCATCTTCCACGCACTGGTTTGCTAATTTCTTCCATCTGGGTTTTGCTGTTTGATTATGAAACATCACCTCAGGTGCTACATGGATGACGTGTGCAGAACATGCAGAGTTGTGTCATTCACACCATCTGTCCGCCCGTCTTCCCAACATGCTCAAGTTCTTCTATATGTGACTCACATGTAGGATTTGTTACATACTGGAGCAGATGGAGAAGG